TTCCCAGCATCCCATATGGTCCCCTGAGCACTGCCAGGGGAATTCCTGAGCGCAGAGCCAGGAGGAATCCCTGTGCACCGCCAGGTGTGACCCAAAAAGCAAAAAAAAAAAAAAAAAAAAACCAAAAGAAGAAAGCAACACACCCTGGATGGGATCCTGCCCTTATGCGGATCTCCTAGTAATCTGGAATTATGAAATTTACATACAAGTGGTACTACATGGAAAGTATCATGCTAAGCAAAATGAGTCAGAAAGAGAGGGACAGACATAGAAAGACTGCACTCATCTGGGGAACATAAAAAAACACAATAGGAGACTAACACTCAAGAATAGCCAAGATAAGTACCAGGAGGTTTACTCCATGGCTTGGAGGCCAGCCGCACATGCTAGGGGAAAAGGGAGCTTAGACAGAGAAGGGAGCACCAAATAAAGGGTGTTGGGAGGATCCTCCCAGGGTGGGAGATGCATGCTGAAAGTAGACTATTGACTGAACATGACTGCCACTCTGTGCCTTTTGTAAACCACACCCCCAAAAGGAGAGAGAGAACAAAAGGGAATGCCCTGCCACAGAGGCAGGCTGGGATGGGGGGGATGGAGGCGTGGGAGGGATGCTGGGATCATTGGTGGTAGAGAATGGGCACTGGTGGGGGGATGGGTATTCGATCATTGTATAATTGAAACTCAAGCACAAAAAATTTTTAAGTCTGGTAATATGGAGTAATCTCCTTAGATAAGATTTTATCATTGAGTTAATCTCCTGGAGGAGTGGTCTTACCCCTCTTTGATGCTTTGTTAATGTTCAACCCACCTTTGTATCACCACCCGATGTGATTGCTATATAAACTAAGACTATAAGATCAGAGGAGGCTCAAGAGAGAAGGGCTCCAGAGAGAGAACCAGAAGGGGAATCAGAGGAGAATGGAGAGGAGATTGGAATAAATCGCAATTGATACCGACCAGCCTGGCCCTCGTTCCTTCCTTCGCTTGCCCATTGCCAATAGCCATCCCAATCAAGTCCATACACAGCGACTCGAGAGCACCGAACGTGGGCCATGAAAGAGAAAGCTGCCTGGAGAGCCCGCGAACACACCGTCATCCTTCCTTAAGTGCATATATTTTTTACACCTGACACCCCTTATGGCACCCCAGGCCCCACCAGGAGTGATACCTGAGCAGAGAGTCAGGAGTAAGCCCTGAGCAAAGCCAGGCGGGGCTCAAAATCAAAACAAACAAAAAACAATGTAATCAAGTCAGTGTGGAATTAGTAAAGAATATGTACAATAGTCCAACAGAAAAGAGTTGAGACTCAAAATAGAGCCTCTTCAGGTCATTAGACTTTTAACAAAGGAACAAAGGTAATACAATGGAACAAAGAAATTCAACAAATGATACCAAAGCAAGTGCTGCAAAAAACTGATAATCCAGATGCAGACTCTATATCCTTCAAAAATTTTAGTCAAATGGCTCATAGATCTAAATATGAAATGCAAAACTATAAAACTCCTAGGGTTAAGGTAACACGGAAGAGAGTATGGATGGCCTTGGTTATGGGTCTTTTTAGATATACCACCACCAAAAGTATAGGTAAAGGTAAAGGTAAAGGCCCTCCCGTTGATCGTCGATTTGCTCGAGCGGGCCCAGTAACGTCTCCATTGGAGACTTTGTTGTTACTGTGTCTGGCATATTGAATACGTCACGGGGAGCTTGCCAGGCTCTGCCGTGCGGGCGAGATACTCTCGGTAGCTTGCCGGGCTCTCCGAGAGGGGCGGAGGAATCGAACTCGGGTCGGCCATGTATAATCCATTAAAAAACAGTAATAGATAAGTTGAACTTAATTAAAATACAATGTTTCATTTTGCAAAAGACACCAAAAGAATGTGAAAATAAGACACAAATTGGTAGGGAAAAATTGCAAGTTATATCTTAAAAAGGACTCAGAATATTACTCAGAATATACCAAAAAAATTCTTAAAACTCCACAGAGAAAAAGAACCAACCTGCCTGGAACAGGGAGGTGCATGGAGTTGATCAGACACCTGTCCAAGAACATGGAGAGACTACAGTAAGCAACTAGGTAAGGCTACATCACGGGAGAGTGTTGGATAACATTGCTTTGTCCTTCAAGAAGCTTAGGTTTTATCTGGTTACACCCACCACAGTGCTCCAGAAGCACTTCCACTTCCATTGTGTTTATCTGTAAACAATCTTCCCTATGCTCTCCCACCCAGTTAATCAGCTTTCCCCTTAATCAGACTTTGTTAATTTGTAAGATCAGTTTCCCAGAAATCTATGATTTTATATATATGAGTGAAATATTGCCTTTTTCCTCTCCTTATGCCTTATGAATAGTTTACCTTAAAGTAATATCCTTTTTGTATAGATACAGGAAGACCGTTAACATTATGCTTTGTAATTTAGGATTTGATTGGCCTTGAATATTATTCACTCCCGGGCATCTTTCTCGACTTAAGCCTCAGTTGCCCTTAGTTCCTAACACCCCAAAAGCAGGGTCCCGACGAGGGACTGAATGGACCCAGGGCAAGCAGTGAGCTACCCTGGCAGCGAAATGGGCCAGGCCAAAGTGCCACGATTCTTAACTATAAGTTAAGAGTTTGATCATAGACAAATGCTGTCATGATCCAAAGGTAACGACAAGACTAGGATCCTGCTAGGGGTGGGAAAGACTATCTGGCCTGAGCACCGTAGTCTGAGATCGAGATGGCCCTAGGAGAGCAATTCTATAAGTTTAAGATATTTCTTACTGTATCCATACAAAATGACTTATATTATATTCTTGTACGCTTGTCGGTCAAGGAGAGGAGAGGCACGCCCATGGAATTCTGCTCTAGGGTGGGTCCTCCTGCTAAGGAAGGATCTGTCCTAGGAGCAGTCTTCCCTGAGGCTAAGATTTCTACCCCTGTTGATCTCCACCCCTATTGATTGTGACCACACCTATGTCATTGTCTGCCCGAATTGCTCTTGGAGGGGGATATAGGGACAGTAGATTGGGCAAAAGGGAGAGATAGAGAGACGGAGGAGAAGAGGAAGGAATCAGAATAAACTACGACTAATACCAACCAGCCTGGCCCTCGTTCCTTCCCCCGCCTGACCATCGCCATCGACCTCTCCGGGGTGGTAGAAGGGTGAGACTACCGAACGCGGGTGGCGGGAGAGATAGAGCCGCCGCCGTGTGGGTGTCGTGCCCCCCAAGTTGTGTGAGTTTACACAGGAGAGTAGATGGGCTAAGTGTCTGCTTTGCACACAGTGACAATGGTCACCCCAAGCACCCAATGAGCAGAGAGGTAGGAGTAGCCCCCAGCACCACTGCGTGTGGCCCACCCCCCAACAATAATAGGTCACTGGAGAAACGCACCACCTGAGGACTACACACCTGTCAGAGGGCCAGGGTGGACAACACCCACTGCTGAAAGGTGTGGGCAGCAGGCATTGTCCCTCACTGCAGGTGGGGCTCACAGACCGCACAGACCCAGGTAGCAATGCCCCACGAGGGCACTACTTGGTAAATTCAGGAGGCAAAACCTTGTCCTCCCAGAAGCCTGTATGTGGAAGTTGACAGCAGTTTTAATCATGGTTTCCAGAATCTGGGTGTAACCAGATGTTATTCAGTAGAGGACCCAAATAGCATCTGGTTATGTGGGAACTGTGGTCCACACAGACCAGGCAAAATTGTGGCCTGCGGAAAAGCTGTCAGGCTGTGAGAAGACAGGAAACAAACATCAGCGCCCGTTCCGGGGTGGGGTAGGCCCGTATGAGAGGCAAGGCACTGTCAGGTGCAATTCTGAATTTCTGGTCAAGGCAACACTGTACAAGAGAGAAACAGCACAACTCTTGATGGTTGACAGGGGTTGGGGAGACAGCCCACATCTAGATTCAGGTGCCCAGCAGCCCAGGACCCCCAGAGTGAGGACTCGTTTCTGGTCAGGAAGGCAGCCTCACAAGAACCACAGGAAATGTAACAATAGAATGGAAGAACTTTCCCCAAGGAAGCAGGCAGGAGCAGACCACAGAGTCATGTCAGCCGCTCCTCCCAGTGAGAGGGCCTGAGCAACAGAGTGGCACAGAGTGAGGCTGGGGGCTTGGGCACGGGTGGGATGGCCCTGCGCTGTGGGACTAGCTTTTGCCTGTCCCCCCACGCCAGCCTCTGTCTGCCCCCACACCGGCCCCCTACCTGTCCCCACAAACCAGCCCTCGGTCTGCCCCCCACATTTGGCCTTCTGCCTGCCTCCCATGCCAGCTCTTTTCTGTGGTCTCTGCCCACTCTGTTGGGGGCTCACAAGTGCCAGTGCCCCCACAGGTGGAGCACCCACAGACCTCTCCTAACAAGGCTAGTGGCAGGAGGGCTGCATTGTGCTGGGCCCTCAGGGACTATGCAGGTCCAGCACAGCACCCAGTTGCCTGCTCGGGGCCACTCACGCTCACACATAAGGATAAGGAGAGAGTGGTGGGGAAGACAACGTTTGGGGAGCCCAATACAGTGCGTGAGAGGGCTAAGGCACTCTGCCTGGCACACAGCCAACCCGGGTTTGATTAGTTCACCTAGCTCCAACAGGAGTGACTGCTGAGTACAGAGGCAGAAGTCAGCCCTTGGCACTGGTGGGTATAACCCAAAACCCAAAATAAAAAATAAAATGTGCACGTGAGCACATGGGAAACCCCAGCACCTCTCCTGGGTCCTTTGCTGGTCAGCCCCGACAGGCATGTGGCTATGGTAGGACAGTGATAAAGCATGCAGCCCTTGCAGAGTTCCTGGGGAGCCCTTAAGCCCTGAAGGCCACTGCAGTCCTCAGGGCTCTGAGCACTGGAGACCAGCAGGGCTAGTTCTGCACTGGGGCACCAGAAAGCAAAGGGCATCAGGGGACAGATACTGACACAGAGAGATGGCACACCCTGTCCCCACACGTCCCCAGGGAGCACGAGGGGGTGACCAAACTGGGCCTGCAGGCATGGGGCTGCCCTGTGGGGGCAGGGAAGAGACTCACTGGGCATAGCCGAGGTCTCCCCAGCAGGGCCCACCCCTGGAGCAGGGATGTGCACACAGGTGCTCAGATCCAAGGGCTGGCTGCCCATGCGGCTGACGTTCCGCTGATTGTCTGCGTCCTCCGGCTGCTCGTCCACCTTCTGGAGACAGGTGCTGGGCATTGCGTGTACAGACCCCACGCCTGGCGTCCCACCGGCCTCCAGGTCGTAGTGAGGTGCCCTGCAAACAGAATGCACACCTTGGTGTGAGGCAGCCGAGGAATCCCAGCCCCTCGGAGTCCGCGGAGGGCTTGCCGGTCCTTCCCCACCGCAGAAGCTTCCCCAGCAGAGGCCCTGGCTGTGCCCCGGCTAAAGCGGGGACTGTGAGACCCCGAGTCCTTCCACACACCACTCCCTCCGCTGTGGGGTCACTGGGCCCCGACCCAGGAACAGGTTCCCGAACTCACCTGGCCTCCACCCCCTTTTCAGAGAAAAGCTGCGGCAAGATGCCCCAGAAACCCACCTCCTCTCTGGGGGCGCGGGGAGAGGCCCGGGTCCCCCACGCGCCCCGGGAGGGAGCCCCGCCCGGCCCCGCGCCTCACTTGGGCTGGTGGTTCCGCGGCTCCTTTTCCTTGTCTCTGTCCTCCGGCTCGCAGTCCCCGGTGGCCGCGTCCTTCTCAGCATCCTCCTGTGCCCGGTGCCGCGCGCGGTGTTTCCGCGGCTCGTCGGCGCCCTCGGTGTCCCGGGGCGCTGGCCGGGCTCCACGGTGGCGCGCGCGCCGTTCGCCCTTGGCCGCATCCTTGGGCTCGCGAGCAGGGTCGTGCCGGTGCGCGCGGTGGCGGCGCGGCTCGCGCTCCGCGTGCTCGGGGGAGCCGTGGCGGTGGTGGCGCCGGCCGCTGTCCGGGCCCGGGCCGCGGCGCTCGGCGCGGGGCTCGCGGGTCGCGGCCGCCTCCTTGCTGCGGCTGCGGTGCGGCCGTGCGCGCTCCTCGCGCACCCCCGGCTCAGCGCCCTCGGGCCCGGGGGCAGCTGGGCTCGCGCCGCCGTCCTGGGCGCGCTCCGGCATGGGCCTGTCCTTGTCGCGGTGCCGGTGGTGCCGGCGCGGCGGCTCGGCGGGCTCGGCCGGCTCGGCGGGCTCAGCCCGGGCCTTACAGCCCGCGGGCCCGCGGCCCGGCTCCACCACCAGCGGCCGGTCCAGGTGCGTCTTCATGTCTGGCCGCAGGTGGCGCGTGGTGGCGTAGCGCAGCCGCTCGTCCGGGTCCATCTCACTGTAGAGCGCCTCGCAGCTGGCGCGCAGGTTCTGCAGCCGCAGCTGGCTGGCCCGCTGCTCCCACACCGAGCGCGCCTTGGCCGAGCTCTGCTGCCTGCTGTGAGAGAGCGGGGTGAGGCCTGCGCCAACGCCGCCGCCGCCGCGGAAGCCACAGATGGACACAGCGATGGAGGGATGGCAGCACGGGCGCAGGGAGGAGCCCAGCCCCGGCCGCAGGGTGCGGGGCAGGCAGGGTGAGGCGTCCTGGGCAATGTCTGCACTGCGCCGTGGCAGGGACCCCGCAGTGGGAGCACCGGTCTGGGGCCACACCTCAAGGGCACTGGAGCAGCTGAGAGTGGCCCAAGGCCAAGGAGTTCAGGAGGTGGGAATGATGGCGCTGGTGCAAGGTGACAGACAGGCTTCCGGGCAAGTGGGCCAGCAGCCAGGGGGCCAAGACAGGAAGGAGTGGGGGCGAGGGAGGGTCAGCATCTCAATGTAGTGGGTGAGGAGTGGGCCAGGGGCCATGGTCAGGAACAGCCCCATCAGGGCCCAACTCCAGAAGAGAGAGGACACAGAGAAACACGGTCTGGCACATGGAGCCTACAGTAGCCAGCAGGGCCATAAGGAAGAACGAGTGCCGGATTGCGGGGGGCAGGGTTGGTGAGCCACAGGGCACCTGCCATGTCACCACATCTCCTGTGAGCCCAGAGGTAGGGTCTGCGGTTGAAGACGCTCCTGCACCCTCTGGGGACAGCACCCTTGGCATCAGGAGTGGCTGTGGTCAGGCTCAGCCCATGTGCACAGACCACCTGCCTACCACCTGGCCACCTCTCACAGCCCACGGTGCATACAAACTGCTGAGACCCCCAAAACAGACAGCTCCAGGCCTCTCTGGCCAAGTGTCAGAGCCAGGGCCTCATGCTGTAGCACGGTGGCAGCCTAGCTCACTGGGCACCATGCTCAGGATGATGGCACTGAGCCCAGAGAGGGGACACTACAAGTGCCACGGTCACTAAGTGATGGAACCGGGAAAGAAGGTGAGCCCTAAGGAGGGTCTGTGTCCACACCCCCAGCAGCAATCTAGCTGGCACCAGCATGAAGACCCAGCCCTGCGCATGTGCTGGCACACAACACAGACTGCTGCCTGCCCCCATGGACGCCTGACCATGGACACTCCTTCTCCCCTTGTCTGCAACCTGGTATACTGCCCTCCTGCGGGGTCTGAAGCCAGGGGCACCAGCCCACAGTGGCCAGCTGCACAGTGACCAATAGCCCAGAGGCTGGTTCCCAGGCCCAGGAGGCTGAGGATTGAGCTGAGGTCCAGCACAGTCCAGGACAATCTGTCAGGACACAGGGAAGAAGGCAATGGCCTTGTGGTGAGGGAGCTCAGGTTCTGGCCAGCAGGTGTGGGTGGGTGGGCTCCTGGAGGCACAGTTCCATCTCGTTCTCAGGTGCTGAGATGGAGGGTCCTGGGCCAGGCCGGCCTCTACCAGTGATGAGCTGCAGCCCTATCTGGCCCTGGTCCTGCTGGGTTCACCACTTCTGCCCACCCCAGAAGCACAGCCACTTCCTCCCGGGATTTGTCTGAGCCTGTGCATCACCCTCTCCTCCTTGTTGGAACCCACCAGAAGCATGTGCCCAGCTGTTGTGCCTTCCTGGCTCCTCTGGGCACACAGACCCCACAGATCTCTCCCAAGATGGCCAGACGGGTCCCTCACTCTTCCCACTCAGTTCACAAGCCAGGGCAGCTACCCAGGGGACCTCGCCACTGACCTCCAGTGTAGGATGGCAAGTGTGACCTGCAAGGGCTCTTGGGGTCCCCTGGAGGCTGACCATCCCTGCACACAGGTGGGCATGCTCTGCTAGCCACTATGTAAACCCTGCAGCCTCCCAGAGAGGCATGGAGGGCACAGCCTGGTGGGGGGCCGGCTCAGCCAGCACCCGCTGGGGGCGCCACTGGGTCCACATTCACATCACACTTCAACATGCCAGGCAGTCACACAGCACTGGATCCCCTACCAGCAGCTCTCAGTGTCTGGGGAAGGATGGACCCTACTTGGGGCTGTTCCATTGGAAATAGGCTCAGCAAAGGCAGGAGCATCCCAACATCTGCACCCACTCCAGACATATCCCTCGGGGGCTCCTGGCTGCACCCTTGGGAGGGAGCTCTGGAGAATAAGCCCAGGATAGACTGGCATCACCTCCAGGTGGTCTCCTGGGGGTTCTCTGGCTCTAATCCAGGCTCAGGCCTTGCAAGAGGGTGGACACTTTGTCTTGCCAGGACATTTACGGACAAGATACCTCCCCTTCCAAGAAAGGAAGAGTGCAAGGACCACGGCCACACTAGGGAGCACCTAGCAAATGCCATCCCCCAGGGAACTTCTCAGCAGGCGCCCAGTGGCACCTGGCACAGAAGCGGCAGAAGAGAGCGGCACCAGAGTGATGAACACAGACGGACAGCAGACAAGAGGACAGAGGCCAGGAGGGTCAGCAGACAAGGAGAGTGGCCAGGAGGGACAGAGGAGGGGCTGAGCGAGAGTTGGATCCCTGGCACAACAACATCAGGGAGCACGCCCGCCCACGCCCCCTGCCCACTGCACAAGGTCTGCTGGGCTCCCGTGAAGCAATGGCTGAGCAGGAAGCAGAGTCAGGAGGGAAGGTGTGTACAAGTGCTCGTCATGAAAGCCAGAATGGTACCGTAGCAGAGCCACTCACGGTGAGCTTACGCTGGAGACAGATGGGCTGCGAGATACAGTACCTCGAGTTTGCTTTACAAAACTGCACATGCAAGAAACAGAACAAAACAAGAGTGAGAGACCAAAGGGCAGCTGAGAGGCAGGAACGCGTGGGAGCCGCGGCAGGCGGGGTACAGGCCGCAGCGCGCCTCTGGACAGGATGCTGGGGGTACTTCCGTCAGAATGGGCACCGGCTGAGACCTCGGGGTAAAAGAGAAGTTGAGAAAGAAAGTATCCAGCAGAAAAGCAAACCCCAACACAGCTGAAAGACAAGGAATCATTATCAGGGGCCTGTCTGTCCCAGGTGGGCACACACGGCCCTGGCTGGGGTCGAAGAGAGCTGCTTGACCTCTCAATGGGCCTTCTCAGTGGCCCACTCCCAAGCGGCCAAGGCGCTGGCCGTGTGGCTGCCTGGCCTTCTGCATGGAGCAGAGCCAGCGACCACAGGAGGTCTTACCTGCTTCCAGCTCCCAGGTACTCCATCTGGGCCCTGCTACTTGCCCACCCAACTCTGGGCCAGACCTCACCCCTCTGCGTCCAAGGCCCTGAGCCAGGTGCTTCCAGTTCACCCTGACTCTTCCCAGGGCAAAGCTGGTTGCCTGACCCACCCGGTTTCCCACAGGCGTGACTCCAGCCTTTCAAACAGATTTCTGGAAGTCTTTCCAAAGCCAATGGAGAGAAGCCGAAGCTCTTTCCTCTCTTCTCAACTTCCCCTTCAAGTTAGCTTCCCCTGGCTCTACTGACACCTGTGAGGAGCTCAAAGTGAGCCACTTGCCTGAGGGTTCTGTGTGTGCCAGGCAGATAAGCGCGTGAGAGTGCTCACAAGGTTGGAAGCGAATATATCAGTGAATATGAACGCTGAGGAAAGCTGGGTGGGGAGAACATGAGTAGAGAGGATGAGTACTGAAGATGTTTAAGTATGTAGAAGTGTGTAGAAGCACAAACGCATGTGAGTGGGGCATTGTGAATGTGAGCATGTGAGTATGGCTATGGACTACATGTGCTACAAGTAACACTCGTGTGACTATTAGTGTAGCCATATGTGTGGGTGCATGAACATGTAAACAGATGTGAGTGGGTGTGAGTCTGAACATGTGAATATGAACTGACTGTGCATGGTTGTAAATATATTAGTGTGGACATGTAAGCCTGTGTATGTGTCAGCATGACTATGTGTGAATGTCAGACATATGAGTGGGGTGAACACATGAGTAAATGTGTGAATATAGATGTCCATGTTTGAACACACAAGCATATTATGACATGTTTGAATAGCACTGTAGCACTGTTCACTGTCCTCCCATTGTTCATCGATTTGCTCGAGCGGGCCCAGTAACATCTCCATTGTGAGACTTGTTGTTACTGTGTCTGGCATATTGAATACATCACGGGGAGCTTGCCAGGCTTTGCCATGCGGGTGAGATACTCTCAGTAGCTTGCCGGGCTCTCCGAGAGGGGCAGAGGAATCGAACCCAGCTTGGCCAGGCCTTCTGCGTGCAAGGCAAACGCCCTACCGCTGTGCTATCACTCCAGCCGTTTGAATATAAACACCCATATGTGTGACCACATAAACAAGTGTGAATGTGGAGCCTGTGAGTGGTGTGAACATGTGTGTCAATTGTGCATAGACAGGAGTGTGAGCATGTGTGAGTGGGGGACATGTAAGTGGTATGATCATATGTGTATGTGTGAATGGATATGTGAACATATACATAGAACATGTAGCATTCTAGGAACAAGTTGGGTATGAGGTGAATATGTATGCAGGGCATGAATGTAGTATGAACACATGTGTGGATGTGAGTGAACCTGTGATAGGACATGAGTGGTGGGAACACACGTCTGAACGTAGGAGTGGATGTGAATGTGAATGTATGATTGTAGGACATGCGAGTGTTATGAACGCCTGTGAGTGCGGACATGTATGGGAATGTAGGACATGTGAGTGGTATGAAAACAAGTGGGTGAATATATGAGAGGGCAAGACATGCGAAAGGTATGAACATTAAGTGGTTATGATTGTGAACACGTGTGGGAGTGTAGGATACGTGAATGGTATGAACACGTGTGAGAACATGAGTAAGAGTATAGAACATATGAGTGCTATGAACACATGTGAGTATGAAAAAGTATGAGAGTGTAGGCCAGGTGAGTGGTAGGAGCACTGAGTATGTGTGAGTGTGTACATGTGGGAGTATAAGACATGTGAGTGGTATGCACACACATAAACATGTATGAATGTAGACCATGTGAATGGTATGAACACTGTGAGTGGATGTGAGTGAACATGTGTAAGTGTAGGACATGTGAATGGTATGCAAATGTGTGTGAACATGTTGGACATATGAGTGGTATGAACACATGTGTGAACACGGATAAGAGTGTAGGACACGTGAGTGATATAAACAACACTGTGAGTGGATGTGAGTGTGAACATGTGTGAGAGTGTAGTACATCTGAGTATAGGAACACAGGCGTGAATGTGTGTGAACGTGTGTGTAAGCATCAGAGTGTGCTCCAGCTCTGGGAATCACAAGGGTGACGAAGCTCAAAGGACTGAAGATCAAGCTACATTGTTCTCCCTGTCCTCCTGGAACCTGACTGGCTATCACCAGAGGCCAAGCCCACTGGCCTAGTGGCCCTCAGGGCCTGCCTCAGGACAGTGAAGTAGCAGATCTTCTGTCCCCAGGCAGATCAGCACTGGACACCTGTCGGCAGGGGGGTGGGGGGGGCCTTCAGGCCTCCCAGAACCCTGGGCCAGTCCTCCTCCTTCGCAGGCCTCAGGGCACAGCTGTGAGGAGCAGAGGGCAGTGGGAGCCTTGTTCTCACCCCAGCACTGCAGCTGGCACTGGAGAAATGAATGCAGGGGGAAGCAGGTGCTACCATACAAACATGAACCTCAAAGACAGGAAATGGTCAAGGACAAGGGGGAGGGGCAGACAGACGACAGACAGACAAGCAGGCCTCGGTTCTGCAGAAGAAAGCAAGCCCTTAGCACAAGATGTCCTCGCATGGACTCACCCACCCAGAGTACAGGAGACCAAGTGTCTCACAGATGGGCATCCCAGAGCTGCATCCCAGTAGTCCCAGGTGAGCCACAGCTGTTTGAGCCCACTGGGGAAAATGTGGTCCAACCCCCAGATGAACTCAGACAGAGACACTGATGACCAACACGGAGCTGAGTACCCTGTGAGGTCTCAGATTGAAGGCAGCACCAGATGCCAGCCTGGTGCCACAGCGACGCTCGTCTGCAGCTGCTCCCGCAGCGGAAGCGCCCAGCACCCACTGTCACTCACACTCTCACACTCACACTCTCCCTGCTGAGGGCCCCAACTGCCCCTCTCTAAGCTTTCACCCTCAAGGAGCTGGCCCTGTGGTCACAGGTGCTGGAAGCACAGCCTCCTGAGGATGAGAGAGCCGATGCTAGCAAACAGGGCCAGCACTGTCCTGCACACCAGGGCTACTGCAGTCACACTACTGCCTCATGCAAGCCCACCGAGTCGCGATTGTGTCCCTACACCTGGGGGTGTCCACAACCTGCCTGGCTCCCCCTCAGGCAAGGCCATGCACCCCACTGGGCCCTCAAGAACCTGTGACCTCCTCCAGTTACTCTCCTTGCAAGTCCAGCACTTTCCATGTGCTTAGAGCCAGGTCCTCTGTATACACTCTCTAGGAAGCAGGCCGCGTGCACGCACTCTCACTCACCCCTACACTCAGGCGCGGGCTCACACGCCCTCACACACAGGCACACTCTGGTATACACACATAGACACTAATGCTGTGCACTAAAGAGTGGACACTTGTGCACAAGCACACACCCGGCAGCACGGTGCACATGCCACCACATGTGCTTGGGACACAGAGCTCTCAGGAAAAGGGAGGCCCCAGGCAGGGAAGGGCAGGGGCCCGGAACTACAGACAGAGTCACTGAGGCTGCACTTCTTCCAAGGCTCCTGTGACCTCTCATGGTCATTAGGACCACTGGCCCCACGCTGCTGTCCTCCCTGTCTCAGCGGCCAACCCTGTCCTGGTCAGTGTCCATGAGGTGGAACACCCATGCACATCTGCTTCCTCATCCAGAGCTCCCTCAGTCTCTTCCCTGCATCTGACATGTGGAACCCAATGGGGAAGCAGCATTAAGTACTGGGGGCCACAAAAGTATCTCTTTAATCTCTGGGCTCACAGAATACATTTCTGATAAATGGCACAAAATTGGTGTGCTGCCCCTGACCACAGCCCATGCCCACCCGTCATGGCACAAGAGCCTGACATGGCCTGCCTCACTCCCACACACACCTGAGGGGTGGGGGAAGTCCTCCCCATGGTCATCCCTCAGCACAGCTGTAGTGCAGAGGCTGCTGGTAAAGTCAAATCAAGGGTCCTGAGGAAGCCCTGCCGAGGGCCTGGCCCCAACCCACAGGCCCTCCCAAGCACTTACGCAGCGATGGAGATGTTGGCCGCAGACATAGGGCTGACTTCAGCCACTTCTTTGGCCTTCTGCAAAGCAAGCTTCTGATTGGCTGCTTCTTCCATCTCTTCTTCATCCTATTTGAACACAGAGTGTCTTCCCCAGTGCTGCGCTCTGTCTGGGCCCACCCGGCCTCCCGCCATGTGAACATAGCTCCTCCGCTTACACACAGCTCCCATGCACAGGGTGCCGGGACTCCTGCCCCCACGCTCTTTCCCCATGCCATCTTCCGGAGCAGACGAGTCCATTTCTGACCTGCACTGCAGGGCTCAGCCGCTGCCTGAACACTTCTCACCTGCCCACTGCACATAGCCCTCTGTTCATCCCATGTTGGTCTTTGCAAGGCTACCCCAGTTCTGTCCCTCTGTCCCTTTCCCCCCCATGAAAACGAGTTCCCCCACGTGTCTGTCAGATTTTTGGAGCCATCAGCAGTGAATGCTCCAAGATTCCAAGCCCAGCAGAAAGCAGGAAGCCAAGGTCTCCATGTGCTCCAGCGGGCCCTCTGGGTCACAAGCTCTTCTCCCCAATCCCTGGATCCAGGTCAGCTGGTCTCCTGGGAGCTGATATATTACCAACAGGACCCAAAGGACCCAAAGCATCCTTGAGTCTTCTACTGTTAGGGGCTCATTACTGGGAAAAGCTGAAGGCCCCATCTGTAGCCTGCAGATGCCCCCACACAGACCATCCAGAGAAGTCCAGGCTCAAAGAAGAGAGGGTACCATGCTCCCCAGAAGCTTCACGAAGGTGCCTGCCTGATCCTGGTTCTACCCCAGGCACCTGTGATGCACCGCAGGGGCGCTGACCCCAATCTCCACTCAGTGCACTGTTGGTTATTAACCCCAAGTGTTTTAGGCTTCATCAGTAAACTGCCCCATTATCTTTCCCCAGAGAAGCTTACAGTGCTCTTACAAACACCCCCAATGCCCTGAGTTTATCTTTAACCTTTCCTTTGTGCTTCACATTACCCCAAGTCAATCTTGGTTCCTTATAAGTCAAAATTTCTGGGGTTCTGTATTTGTAGTGAATTTCTTGCTTTTCTATTTCCTCTACAGTCTTCATATTTTACTATAGAGCAATGTTCTTTCCTTAACAAAGAAAGACCATTAATGCTGTGCTCCTAATACTTGGGAGTTGATTGACTGAAATATATATACTCCTAGGCAGATATTATAATTACTTGACTCAGGCTTCGATTGCCATAGTTCCCAACACCCCACAAAGGGAGGTCCTACTATGGGACTGGGATTGGCCCAGGGCTAGCAGCAAAGTTACCCCGGCTTTTTGGGTCATACCCAGCGATGCACAGGGATTACTCCTGACTTATGCACTCAGGAATTACTCCCAGCGGTGCTCGGGTAACCATATGGGATGCTAGGAATCGAACCCGGGTCGGCCACATACAAGGCAAACACCCTACTCACTGTGCTCTTGCTCTAGCCCCAGTATCACGTTCTTTCTGCAAGCTGTTATGACTTAAGAGATAGGACCCCCATGGGGAAAGACAAGCTGAACTGGCCTGAGGACTTAGTCTGAGATTTTATGGTAAAAGCCTTGCTTGCCCTTGGAGCCCAGAGAACTGAGTTTTGGAATCTATATCTTTTACTGTGTTTATTCAAATAACTGCAAGTATTAATAAGAAGTAAACTTAATTGTTTAATGTCTACAATTAAAGGGAAAGACAAAAGCAATATAGATGTCCCTGGGAGACAGAACATCTCCTTGAGTTAATCCCCCAAGAGAACTGCCTTCACTGAAACGCTTTACCTCGGTAAAAGATCAACCACACCTGCTTGCAGTCCCACACCTCAGACCCACTCAGATGTTCTATAAGTGTGCCAGCAGCTCTACATTAAAGGGGCCATTTTGACCATCAGTCTGTGGTCCCCCGTTTCTTTGTTCCTCTACTGAGGAAGCCTGGGGAGGCAGCTCCCGGCTACCAAACGCACACATCGCGTACCCACATTTGAAACTCACAGTGCACCACTGGGAGGCTGCCCCCAATCCTCACTTTCAGAGCCAGATGATGCTGTTTTAGTGTGAATAACAGAAAGAGGGGGCCAGGTTGTTATGCCCTTAGGGTCTGCTGGCTAGTCCAGGCGATAAGACAGCCTCCACGATGCCAGCAGTGAGCACAGAGGGACCACCAGTGTTTAGGGACATGGGCCAGCCCTGCTTCAAAGGCAGCAAACAGAGCAAGGAGGGGTCAGGCCCTCAGAGGGAAGAGCAGGGCTGAGCAAGAGCAACGCAAGGGAGCGTGTGGGCTGTGCCTGCACCTGGGCACTCCTGAGACTGGAAGGACACCCGCATGGCAACACTGGCAGTGAAGCCATAGCACTGGCACCCTCAGATTCTGCCCCAGGCCAGGGTGTGCACATGCCCGGAGACAGCACACATGCAAGGTCCTGCACAGGCTGTGCCTCATCTCACACAGCTGGAGAGGTAGCATCGTCCCCCACACAGGAGACGGCTGGTCCAAGCATAAGCCTGAGGCTGAGAGAGCAGACAGGCCGGTCACGCTGCCCAAGACTGTGGGGGAGATGGCAAGCAGGGGGCTGTGTCACTCTCTCAGAAACCACAGGGGAAGGCATGTGAGATCACATCCCCCACTGGGCTCAGGAATAAAAGATGAGCATTAGATATGCCTGCTGGGCAGTGCCTGGAGAATGGACTGCCCGCTGTGCCCTGCTGAGCCCTGCTCTGCCCTGCTCTGCCCCTCTGTGCCCTGCTGTGCAGAGCAGAGCTGCTCCCCCTGGCTCCTGCCTGCCGGCATCTGAGGCGTGGGCCTCACTGCGGCTGTGTTCCCAAGAGCCCGACCCACACACCCCTTTACCCAAAACGGATGCCATAACCCACTTCACACGGCCACATGGGCAGTGCAACTCATGTCTCTAACCCCGCCACTTCAAGGGCTCTCTCACTGACAGTACTCAAACTCCTCTTCCTGTTTGCCCTTCCAAGGACCAAGACCCGTTTTCTTGGAGCCATGTGCGTAGTCATGTACCTCCTGCTTCCTCAGCCCCTGCTCCCAACCAAGCACAGGGACTCTGCTTTCTGGGATCCTGAAACACCAGACAGCCCTTGGCATGGCTCTTTAGCTTCCAAAGTGACATGTCCAACCCAGGCCGCAGGTGGCATTCCTACAGCATACCTTTGTCAGCTCCTGAGCATTGGCGAGGTTGTCCACGGCGATGGCCAGAAAGACATTCAGTAAAGTATCTGGTTGGCCCAGCTAAGGAAGGGAACATTTTATTCCCCATGCCCTCCCACAGGCCATGACCCTACACCCTCCATGCCCTCCCACAGGCTATGACCCTCACCCCCCACGTCCTCCCACAGGCCACAGTGTCCCCCCTGTCCCTGAAGTCCCAGAGTTGGCAGCCTGCAAATGCTGTTCAGACCTATACCTGCAGTGCCCCCCACATGCACTTTGGATGCCTGAAGCCTTGTGCACCTGTATGCATGTGCCTTGCTGCACCATACATGTCTAAACCTGCACTCACCTGTGTGCCCAGTCTCAGGCCACCCACATTCCTAATGCCCAAGGGATCCTTCCTTCTACCTTGCTCTGTAGCGCTTGTGGCCAGGCCTCAGCTTGGATGCACATTGGGCTCGCCTACTTAGCCTCAGAGGGAGCACCTGGGCAGCTCCAAGACCTTTCTCCCCCGTTTCCTGTGGGAGAAGCCTCCCACAAGCACCTTCAACTCACAGAGGCTGCTCCTAGGACTCAGCAGTAGTTCTGGGGCAGAGCCCGCCTAGGACAGACTGAAGCCTTAGGGAGCCCATGAGCAGTACTGGGTGCCAGGGACAGACTGCACAGTGCCCTGCAGCTTGTCCTGCCACTAAGCCTCAGGCCAGGCTACAAGCCCCTGTTGTGATCCCCACCCAGAAGTAAGGAAATGCAGGTTGAGCCATTGAGCCATGCAGTCCAGTTGTCTCCCCACACTTTCAGCTCCAGCCCCTGCCAACTGCCACCAGCCTCTTCTGACACTCCCCCTTGGCTGCCCCCCTGGCCTCAGTGCACTGGGCTCCACCCGCACTACTCCAGCCCTCCCCAGACCGCTAGATCCCTGAGTTCTGAGTCCCTGGCCCAGCTAATCTCATCAGATGTTGAACTGCATCACTGGCCTGGGGTCTCTCTCCACGTCAGCAGAACCCCCGTGTCAGGACAGCCCAAGCGTGGTCCTTGGCCAGTATCCTGGCAGGGCAGAGTCCCCTCACCACACCATGGGCTGTGGGGCCCCAGCACCTCTCATGCTCCAGGGCTGGCCTTCCTGTGCCCACAGAGCGGACTGAGATCCCACCCCTCAGTCTCTGGCCAGAGAGTCACATGGATGAGAAGGCCCAGGAACCAACATGACTGGTTAAGTGTACAGCCGGGTCCATGGTGACCAGCTGGGACACTCCCCCATGCCTCACAACAGGCTCTTCCCTCTGACAAGGCCGCCCCCTCCCACGGTCCTCACCTCTCTGCAGTAACCCCCCCCCATACATATGCACACATACGTATGTGCATGTACACACACACATATGCATAAGCACACATGCCTGCCTCACAGCCTCCTGTGGCCAGTCCCCACCTAGGACCCAGGAGTAGCCAAGCCTGCCACAGGGCCGAGAGGAGCTCAGTTGGAGAGGGTGGGAGGGAAGGAGGCAGAACACTGAAGCTGTGGTGGTGCAGGTGGAGAACTCAGAGCCCAGCAGGACGGCACCTGGCGGCCGGCAGCCAGGGCAGGAGAAAGCTGCTCAAGGGGAAAACAGCTTCCCTCCAGGCTCTTGGGGTGCTCTCGCCAAAGTCCAAGGCTCTCCAGGTCACAGCACCTGAGCCAGGCCAGGGAGCCTGGGCGCACATGACTGGAAGGAATCCTGGCTCCAGCAGGGAGGAGTCTAAGAATCTGAGACTGGGCCAAACTTCCCCGACTCTCCTGCAGCGCCTGTCCCTTGGCACCTCCCACAGAAAACTTTCTTTCGCACTGCTCTACATTCTCCCGGGGCTGGAGGGTTCCCAAACCCACTGCCAAACTTCTGAATAAACCTAAGTGAAGAGAGCAACCACTGCCCTCGATGTTTGACACACACCCTCACAGCACTCTGGACCTGCCGCTCCCTCTCAGCACAGTCCTGCTCCCGTCAGCCTGGACCAAACTCTTCAACCCCCCTGACCCCCACCGCCCAGTGCCCCTGGAGTAGAGGAGCCAGGCCACGCACTGTCCTGTGGCACGGGCAAAGAGAAGGATACAGTTTCCAAACAGCGTCAGGACGATGAAGTAGAAGGAGGAGAACATGCCTTTGCTGACTCCTCCCTGCGATTCGATCCCGTGATACATGACAGCGTTCCAATCCTCCCCCGTCAGGATCTGTGGGGAGAGCCCCGAGGCGGGGATGCCTGGCTCTGCATCCTGTTGCTTTTATTTTTGCTTTTTGGATCACACCCGGCGATGCACAGGGGCTGCTCCTGGCTCAGGCACTCAGGAGCTACTCCTGGTGGTGCTCGGAGAACCATATGGGATGCTGGGAATCAAACCCGGGTAGGCCGTGTGCAAGGCAAACGCCCTCCTCACTGTGCTATCGCTCCAGCCCCCTTGGCTCTGCATCCTGCACCCGCATATTTCTCCCCCCAGGAGCTCCCCCACCCATACACATACCTTACACACCCCCACACTACATACACTCACCCAACCCATATACACGTAACTTACACCCCATATATATATACCTCACACTAGATACTCACCCCACACCCCATATACCGTACACCACACACACCCACAGTAAACACTCACCCTAGATACACATGCCCACAACCCTTATATATACACCCCACACCCCATACACATATATCCTATTACATATACCCCACACTACATACACTTTACACACTCCCCTCCACACCCCATATATACATACCCTACAGTCCCAAATTATATAGACCCACATGCACTCACATCCTACAGACACACACCTCACACTACACTCACTCTACAACCATATACACATTCCCCCACATTAGCTACACCCATGTTAGACACCCCACACTATATACACTTTACATATCCTCACACATCCATACCCCTACCCCACACATACCCCACATACATTCATATCTTACATACACAAACCCCATACCACATACACCCCCACTCCATATACACACCATACCTTTCCACACTTACATACCACCCCACATATACCTATAGCCCATATATACCTCACATGCACCCCAAACCCCATATACCTCACATATACCCCATTCCACATATACCTCTACACTTACGTACACCACATACCCTACACACACACACACACACACACACACACACACACACACACACACATTCCATACATAGCCCCCTGCACACTGACATAAAGCTGCATACCTCATACACCCCACATATGCCCTTGTATCTCAATTACCACATATACATCCTTGCACCCCCACATCCACCCACCATTGCTGGAGGAAGCATCTCTCCCACTGTCCCCTATTCTCAGGTGAGGCCAGGGGAAGTGTGCCTCTCCCACTGTGCAGGTCCCCTACACACAGAAGGGCCTTGACTCTGCTTTCCAGTGGGGCCAGGCATAGCGGTGCTCGGGCCTATCCCTGGCTCTGTATGAGTGACCCCTCCCCCCCCCACTGGTAAGCATTGCTGGCGACCAGGGAACCCTACATGGTGTCAGGGATTAGAACCAGGGTCACAACCACTGCAGTTGCAATGCAAGGCTGGTGCCTTCCCTCCCCAGTACTAACTCTCTGGCCCAAACTTCAGAGATTTCTTTCTTGGTGTGCACAGCTTTTATTACTCCTATGAATGAGGTCTTTCTCTTGAATCAAATTTCTGACTAAGCCTGTTGCTCTATACAAAAAGCTAGGACTGGGTGTCATGTCTCATGTTCAGCAACCCCTGCAAAGGGTCTCTGCCTCTTCTTCCTGTGACTTGCTGACCCTTGGCTGTGGCTGCCCTATCCCCTGCCCTGGCTGCACCCGAAACTTCCACGGGTCTGCAAGGGACTGAGCACCGCTCCCAGGGCCAGCAGCGAGACACACTCCACAGGCAGGGCTTAAATTGGGGTCAGCAGGGGTAGGTCTGCACTCTGACTCACCACCGGCCTTCCTGACTGCACTGGGCCCAAGCAGAGCTAGGGACACACAGCCAGGACTTGCTACAGAACTTTTCTTGTCCAAGAGCCCACTCAAACCAGAAGCTGGTCTGGACACTCGGCCAGCTGGCAGCAGTAACATGCACATGTGGGGAGGCTGTGGTTCTGAGATGCTGGGAGCGCATTACAATGGTCACCATGAAAGGGACATCATGACATGCCCCATTCTCTGAGCCCACCTGCTTACTAGGGCCAATGAGCATCACAGCATCCAGTAAAGGGCCAGTGCCCCACCCTGCAGAAGGTCACCAGGAACTGAGTGTGACCCTGAGCTTGAAGCAGAGTCACCCTGGGTGGACAGTGATGGGCCTTTCTGGCCTGCATGTGGGCAGCAGACCACATCATTGGTCTTCGCTTTCAGGATGCGCAGATCAGGCCTCAAGCATTATTATTGCTCAAGCCCTGAACCTTCATCTGGGCAGAGACATCCTCTCTGGCTACAGACTGCTCACCATCCAAGATCCGTGTCCACTGCCCAGGCCAAGCAGTGAACCTCAGAGAGTGATCCTCCAGCACCAGACTGCCACATAGGGAAAATGTCTGCTTTTCTATGCAGACGCCAAGCTGTTGGGGCTCTCACAGGCTGCCCACACTCCATCAAGCCTTGTCCAGCAGAACTTCTGCCAGCGGCTACCCTGTCTCCACAAGGAGCAATCTGCAGAATGGTCAGGGATCCTGGGCCTGGGCCACCAACTTAAAGCCCCCAACTTAAACTGGAGCCCTGATAGGCAAAAGCTTCAACTCTGTCTGGGCTCAGTGATGCCTTGGTCTCCTGGGCTCAACGTCAGCTCAAAACCAGGGTCCAAAAACCCTCAATAGGCTGATTCCTCTTCCCAGGTTTTAGCCACCACACCAAAAGTTAAAGAACAGACAACTTGGGCAGTATAGCGGTTGCCCTCCTCATGGGAACCTGCTCGCCCCGCTCAGATTGGAGCAAGAGGCCTTGACTGCCAAGTCAGACTTCTGCTTACTCGACCTCAAACTTTCAAATCAGGAGTGAGCAAGCCTGCACCATTTGCAGGGTCACAAGGATGCACTGCATCACACTGCAGCAAGTGCTGTTTCTGAGCATTACGGGAGCCTCTTGGTCTGCATAGTAAAGCCCAATGTCCCTCTCACCCACCCTGGTGCACTCAATGCCTAGCGTGGTGCTCAGAGTGGGGTCTGGCCGAGCAGAAGCCCTCCCAGGACACTGGGCCACCCTGTGACCCACTGCTCATCAGCTGATAGCCACAAGTCTCCTGGACTCTTCTGAGGATGACTGGTTTCATGACACTCCCACTCCACTTTCAGACCATAAATTGAGAACCTTTCCCTGGAAGTCTCAGCGTTTCTTACTCAATTTCTGGACCACATCTCAGTCAGTTCAGCAACCAAACAACAGGGAAATGAACCCATTTGTCCACATCTTCTCCAAACGTGGATAGTGCTAGATTTCTGAAATTCAATTAGAGGAATGGGCGGTGATGAGGTCACTCTGTGGGTGGAGAGGGAAGGGAGTGGGTTGTCGCTGTGGGACTGGTGCCCTGGACTTGACAAAATACTGGTCATGATGTTTACGTGCTTTCACCAGCCTGAGCCCAGAGTCCTCTCCCCACGCTCCTCTTTGCCCTTCCCGACCTGTTCTTTCCCATGAACAGGGTTCTAGTTCACTCATGTTACTTCCTCCTCTTCCATGGGATTGGAATTACATATGGGTAATATGTTTCTGTGGGTAATTTTCTCTACAGTCTGTGCTTCTTTGATCCTCTTTATAAAGGTCTCTTGTCTTGCATTACTGACGTTCCCCTCTGTATGTACTTTGAAAATTCCCACTTGTTTTCACAATCATATCTAATCCACCTACACTGACGTCCAGATCAGGTGCTTTTCATGTGCTTCTCTCCAATGACTGGCTGGTCTGCTCTCGCCATGTGCAATGAGAACATGCACTTCAGAGCTTTCCAAAGATTTGCCTCTACCATTGACATTCTTCCTTCTTAATCCTGATTCTTCCCTTGTTCCACTGCACTAAAACTAGCATGACCTGAGTTTGATCTGAGCCTCTAAGAAAAGACAAGGTGGACATCTGTGCCACAGTCACACCTGCCAGTCCCCCACACTAACACTGAGCAGACATTGCCAACCTTATTTGACTGGCCCTCTCCCCATGAGGAGACTGGGCTTTTTCCAGAGTTCCAGTGTATTCACGGCCATTGTCTTTTTCCTCTTTGATCTGCTGAAATAAGGAAGTACATTAGCAGACAGTGAGAACCCTTTCGGAATTCTAAGAGCTCAGCCAACCATGAAGAGAATCTCTGAGCAAATTCAAAGCTGAATGGAGAGCATTTCCTCAGGGTGTTTGCCTCTATGTTTGAAACTTCATTTTCCTATCTTGTCCTTGTGTCTTTTTTTCATAACTGGCCTTTCTAGTCTCATAAAATGGGCTGGGAGTTTTCCTTCTTATCATTTTCAGGATACCCTACACAATTCCAGTCATCTGCTTCTAGTTCATTTGCGAAAACATCTGAAACAGTGAGAGGTGGGTAGTTTTGATCATGGAACACCCAATTCTTGCTTTGGTCAGTGTGCTGCCAGTTCTCTGATCACCACAATATAGGATATATGAACACTGCTATACCGACAGGGCTTTGAGTGGGAATGCCCTTACGCTTGGTTCCGCCACACAGTAAATCACAGGTGTGTGGGTCAGAAGCTTGGAGATGATAGGGACTGTCCTCGGTGCTATTGTTACTCCCCATAGCCTTCTGCCATGGGTGCTCAGAAGCCTCCTTCACACTGGTATTCTTTTTTCTCCCCTTACAGTTCCTTTACTTATGTTGTTTGTTGTAATGACCAGGGTCACACACATGCTTGCTGTTAATACTCACAAATACTCACATATTCTGGTTGTGGTGCTCACACACTTGGCCACATTCATTAAACAAGGTGCTTACAATTGATTCCAGTGTTCACCAGCAGGGGTATGAGGTTGGGGGAGGCTGGTCACACAGCTTCACAAGGCACATTAGCACTCACACACATGCTTTCCAGAGGGCGCTGTGGCACTCACACACATGCTCTCTAGGGGCGCTGTGGTGCTCACACAATGCTCTCTAAGGGGCGCTGTGGCACTCACACATGCTCTCTAAGGGGCGCTGTGGCACTCACACACGGTCTCTAGGGGACGCTGTGGTACTCACACACATGGTCACTAGGTGACGCTGCTCACACACATGCACACTAGGGGGCACTGCGCCACTCACACACGTGCACACTAGGGGGCACTGCGCCACTCACACACATGCGCACTAGGGGGCACTGCGGCGTGTGTGTGTGTGTGTGTGTGTGTGTGTGTGTGTGTGCGCGCGCGCGCACACACACACACACACTTGCTAGGAGTCACATCCCCTGCGGTGCTGGTCCACAGTGCTCTCCGGGTTTTCAGCAGAGCTGCCTGGGCCAGGCTAGGCATGGGGGCACGGGTGAACTTGGGGTTTCTCAGCCCTGAGCCAGCTCGGGCCCTAAGCATATTCTCTGTAGACTCTCAGGGTAGCGGTCACGGCTTCTCGCTCACCCAGTCTACAGGAGGAACACAGCTGTTCCTGCCTCGGAGCTGCTCTGGACTCAGGGAGCCTTGTGGCTAGGCAGGCACCCTTCCCACAGCTGGCGGGGTTTCCCATCCTCCAGGCCAGGCAGTTGCCGCCCCTCTCAGAGAGCCCAGCAAGCAACTGAGAGTATCTCCCCGCACAGCAAAGCCTGGCAAGCTACCCGTGACGTATTCAACATGCTAAACACAGTAACAAGTCTCACAATGGAGACATTACTGGGCCCGCTGGAGCAAATTGATGAACAGGAGGACAGTGACAGTGAGTGACTCTTGGTGTTAGCCGCCTCAATTCAGAGGCTCCTGCCCTCCACAGCCTTCTGCCATGTGCTCTTTCCCCAAGCCTGGGCCTCAGCACTGAGCTGCCGGACACTGCCTGAGTGGCTCTGTCGGGTGAGCTTCCCTCTCACTGAGGAGCTGTGGGCACCTCCGTGGGTCGGCCACGTCCGGAGCAGAGTTGAGGAGGGGACCCCCCATGCACAATGGCCTGTGTCCCCTCCTCAGAGCCCCCCAGCCTCCTCGGCCTCCCAGGCTTCCTGGAGCTGAGCCGGTTGGCTGGTCCCTGGGCAAAGCTCCTCCTCCGACCCACCAGAAGAAGCTTGTCAGGGGAAGGGAGAGCCACAGCCCAGTCCTCCTGCCCAGAAAATCCCAGGGACAATCACTCAGAGACCTGGGTCAGTGGCATACACTGGTCCAGCAGAGAGGAGCATGGCATCAGCATATCAGGAACCCGAGGAGGGGAGAAGCCCGAGGGAGCCCAAGTGAGGCCACAGAGGGCGCAGAACAGGCCAGGTGGGTAGCCAGCAGCGGGCGTGATGGTGACAAGCATCACACTTTCAGCCCAGGCTGCCGGAGAAGGCTAGTTCAGGTGGAGAGGTCTGCTGAGGCTCCGTTCCTATCAGAGCGTCAGACACCGGGAGACCTGACACAGATAGTGGGCTGCACTGTGGCCAGGAGTAGGGTGGGTAGCCCTGGAGGTCAGTAGCCCATGAGTGTAACTACTGGGCTCCCTGAGAGTCAGCAAGAGTGAAATGCCCATCCCCTGGACAAGTGTCCAAGGTTTTCTGGGACAGAAATGTCTGGGCTTGTCTCATCCATGAGGCCATATACAGGAGCAGGGCAGAGCCCTGTGGCCACCCACAAGAACCCTCCAAAGGAAGCCTTTAAAGAGCAGGAGTCTCGGCCTGCAGATAGATCTAGTGCTCCCAGCTGAGAAGCAGGGCATGCAGGACGGCTGAGTGGCTGTCTTTTGTTCTCCAAGGACACAGAGCTGGGCAGCAGGGTCCAGGGCCGAGGAGATGAGTTGGCAGCTTTGTCCCGGAAGCTTCCCCAGATCCTCGGGGTAACCCCACATGCCTCCTGACATAGTCCCCCCTGGTCAGACGCCAGGTCCCATCCAGTCACCACAGATGTGACCCTGCCCTCCTAGCCACCCACTGGGGGACCCACGCAATGAGGCCTACACAGTGGAAACTGTTGCATGGACAGTGTGTATGGGTGGTTCTGAGGCACTGTGGTGGGGTCAGCACGAAACTGCCTTCCAGTCCCAGGAATGCAGAGGAGGCCAGAAAAGGCCGAGGACCAGAGCCTTACCTGGAAGACAGTGAGGATGGCGGCCGGGAAGGTATCAAAATTGGTTGTAGGAGTCTCTTCTCTAAAGTTGAACCTGGAAAATTAAAAAGGTTTTCCTTTTTTTTATTTAGGTTCAGGAATCACACTAGGCAGTGCTCGGGGCTTACTCCTGGCTCTGCACTCAGGGGTTGCTCCTGGTGGGCTCAGACAACCACATAGGGTGTTGGGGATAGAGTCTGGCTGGCCATGCGCAAGGCAAGTGCCTTTCCCACAGTCCTACCGCTCTGGCCCCAAAGGTTTTCCTCTTTAAGCCGCTGCTATGCAGTGCCCTCTTGACCTGCAGGGAGGGTGAGCTAGGCATGGCCTGGTCCTGCCAGCTGCACACCCCACCTCCCTAGCCTCACGCCCCATCTGGGTCACTTACTGCCCCCCAAACAGCTGCATGCCCAGCAGAGCGAAGACCACGATGAAGAGGAAGAGCAGGAAGAGAAGGCTGATGATGGACTTCATGGAGTTGAGCAGAGATACCACCAAGTTCCGCAGGGAGTTCCAGTACCTGTGGTGGGGACATGCAGGGGTGCCCAGACAGACTCAGCTGCCTCCCCCCCAACTCTCTCCTCTTACCCGTAAAGCCTCACATGCAAGTCTCCAGTTCCAGGCCCACTTTCCTGCACCCACCATGTGAGGTCCAGTAACCAGCAGACCGCATGGCTACAGGACTAGCCCTCACTCTCCCACACCTGCACCTGACCCCCATCCTCAGGCCGCCCAGTCCAGCTCTTGCAGTGTCATCCCCAGAGCCCATGCCAACACTGCAGGGAGGGCCAGAGAAGTCATCATCAGCCACCAGGACCAGAAGCAGCATGGAACAAGGCCCACGTCGGTCGCAGGGCTGTGCTCCCTTGAGCAGGTAACCCCAACTCCCAGACAGCTTCTCCACCCTAGGGGGCATGGCAGTGGGTGTGGGGTGCAGCACTCCAGACTTCAGATGTTCCCTGAATGCTAGAACCTGTGCTTCTACCTAAGGCTCCTAGAGGCCAAAACAGGGCTCTCTCATCTAGGGCAGGGCCCCACACCCAACCCTCACTGCTGGCAGCTCCGTGACAGGCAGCTTCTGCAGGCTGCCTGACTGTGTGCCCCCCCAGGGCCCTGAAGGTGGGCCTGTCAAAACAGGGTCCCCAGGCTGGGCCCAAACCCCATCAGCAAGGTCCCCAGGATGGGCCCAGGCCTCATCAATAGGGTCCCGAGGGTGGGACCTTACAGGCCCCCATTAGCCCAGAGTCCCAGGATGACCTCAGTCCCCCATCAGCCCAGTCATGGGGACCTGGTGGCCTGAGCACAAGCAGCAATGCCTTGTGCATGTTCCAGAAACTTCCTGTCCCTCCTTTCACCCTGGACCAGAGTGATGGCAGGGACACTCACTTGGGCGGCCACCTTCTCACTGGAATCCTGTGCTTATGCCTCTCCTTATAACAGTTTCAGGGTTCAAAGAGGGTTCTGGAAAGATTTCTGGGACCTTCAGGGTCTGGCCCCCACTCATCCCAGGAGGAAACTGCCAAGACCCTAAGGCCCCCACCTGGAGAAGACAACCCAGTGGTTCCAACCTGTTCCCTGCCCACAAGCCTCTCACAGCACCCAACCACGTGGGATGCTGGCCCCCAGTCAACCCCACAACACTCTGACAAAACCACTACTGATGCAGACAGCACAACTGATGCAGCTGAGAAAAGCCAGGTTCTGAGAAGTAATCTCATAGCCTGGGGTCCTGAGCCCATGCTGGCTGGGGTTCCTGCAGGCACCCAGAGCCTGGCATGACAGCACTCAGTGGATTCGCGGTGACATCAACCTCCAGTGCTGTGCATGCACAGTAGAGCTGGGTGCAGAGAGCAGAAAAGGGAGCAGAGCTCAGTGCAGAGAGCAGAGAGTAGAGGCAGTGCAGAGGAGAGAGAGAGAGAGAGAGAGAGAGAGAGAGAGAGAGAGAGAGAGAGAGAGAGAGAGAAAGCAGAGTCCAGTGCAGAGATCAGAGCAGAGAGCAAAGAGCAGAGCAGAGAGCAGAGCAGAGCACAGAGTAGAGAGCAGAGAGCAGAGAGCAGAGCAGAGAGCAGCACAGAGCAGAGAGCAGAGCAGAGCAGAGAACAGAGAACAGAACAGAGCAGAGCAGAGAGCAGAGGGCAAAGCAGAGAACAGAGCAGAGCAGAGCCCAATGCAGAGTCCGTGCCGGGTGTGGTGCAGAACAGAGGGTGTTGCTGAGCACAGGGCCCAGGGTGCCTTCTCAGTCTGCACCTGACGCCCCACACCCACCACCTCCTAGGCCACCTGCACCTGGCCTCTCTGTGGCCAGTGGAATGACTGGCGTGAGGGACACAGAAAGAAGTGGTGAGACAAAGCTAAAGAGACTAAAGTCACATCACTGTGGCTCAGAGAGGGCAGCACTGGACATAAGGGGAAGGACACAGGGGCGGGAGGACACTGGGGGGAAGAGGATATGGGGGAGAGGACACATGGGGAGCACATGGAGAGAGGAGGACACGGGAGAAGGACAGCAGGGAGGAGGAATGTGGGGGGAGGACACTGCAGGGGGAAGGACATCAGGGAGGAAGGACGTGGGGTGAACGTGCCAGGCTGACTCATTCAGGGCAGTGGAGGAGCAAGGCTGGCCTCTCCCTCTCTATGACCAGAGCTGCAGGAGGTGAGAAACTGCCCTCTGAGGAGCTTTTCTGCATTAACTTTGAGGGTAGGAAGATCCTTCAAGAGGGGGCAGGGTGAGGCCCTGGGGCAAGTCTTGTGACAACACTAGGGTGGAGGGGGTAGCTCCGAGGGGCGGGGATGGACAGGGCAGTGCTGGAGTGGCACCTGGGGAGGCAGATGCATGACTGATTTCTGTCACTGACCCCAGGGCCCCAGACCCTGAGCACAAGAACAGCCCCTCTGCTTCCTCCAAGGCCCAGTCTGCGTGTTGGCCACCCACCCCACTGTCCCCTGCCCCAGAGTCCAGGGGTGACCTACTTTGTGACCTTAAAAATCCTCAGCAAGCGGAGGGCTCGCAGCACACTGATCCCAAAGGAGGTGCCTGGCTTGATGGCGGCCCAGACCACTTCAAAGATGCTCCCCACAATGACCTGCAAGAGAGGTGAGGTCAGCCGTGGGGAATGTGCACACACCTCTGCATGTACCTGCACACTTCTACGTGCACCTGCACACACCCGCATGCACACCTCTGCATGGTTCTACACACCTGCACACACATTTCTGCACACACTTGCACACTTTTACACGCATCTGTGCATATCTGCATGCACCTGCACACATGCCTCCATATGTCCCTACATGCTTCTATACACACCTGCACACAAATCTCTGCACACACACCTCCACATACATCTTCATGCATGCCTGCACACAAACATGCACCCGGACACCTCTGCATGTACCTACATTGGTCTGCACATACCTACACACCTCTGCTTGCATCTGTACAGGAACCTGCACTCCTCTGTAAGCACCCCTCTGCACGCACCTGCACACCTCTGCACACCTGCACTCATCTACATGCACCTATGCACATCTGCAGGCACCTGTACATGCACCTGCAGTCTTCTGTACACATCTGCATTCCTCTGTCCACACACTGGTACACCTCTGCACATACCTACACTCATCTGCGTCTATCTGCACTCCTCTGCACACACGTGGACATGCAACTGCACTCCTCTGCATGGCACACATGTGCTACAAAATGTGCCAGTGCATTGACCTGTCTGCCTGCAGCTGTAGCCTAGAAAGGCGACTCCAGGCATAGCCTCATGCTGAGTTCCACAGTTTTGGGGGAAAGATTGCAGAGCTCCCAGCACCCACCCCACCACACCAGGACATGGAGAGGCCTGAAGCTTGGGACCTCTGAAACCCCCACAACACTCAGTGCTTTATCACAGCCGAGTCTCCACTGGGTCAGGCAACTGAGCATCTGCCTCCTCAGGAAACCTCTCCATCCCGGCCCACTGCTCTGATTCAGGGTCCTGAAATGGCACACACGTCCTGTTCTCCCTGGACAGGCACCAGCATGCCCCAGAGCAGACAGTGGCACCTGTCCTCTACGGGGCTGGGGGACAGGAAAGTCAGACAGCCTCGACCCTCCTGCTCCTCACATGGGCTCTACAGGGGGCCACAGACAATGTCAAGATGAGGGTGCTGGAAGGACAGCACGGCCTCACCAGACTCCCAACATGACCATCCTGGTCTCTGTGCCATCCCCACAGCCTGACATACTCAATCAAGACCTCTGATGTTGGCACCACCAGCTGCCCCTAGCTCCACCAAACCAACTGCGTCATTTCACACAAACTGGAGCATATGACCTTGATGGTTTCACCCAGTAGCTGCCCTGGACACTGGCTGGGCTGCTGTATCACAAGCCAGCAATGGCACACCTGTGACTGCCCTTGAAATGTCCTCCAGAGGCATCAGAAGACCTGGTGGCACCAGCCCAGCTGCCCTGATCAGCAACAGCAGCTTTTCTCTGCGCTAACACATCAGCCTGGTCAGCCGGGAAGGACAGCCGGGTCTCTACTGACACTCCTCATGGCCTCAGAGTTCCTGTCATCTCCACACTAACACATCAGCCTGGTTAACTCCCAGGAAGCAGAAGGAGTCCTGCTGTGCAGGCTGGAGGCCTTGTGCTATCGAGCCTATGTGGTAAAGCAGCTCAGACACTTCACTTTCTTACATGCGCTTGAACACTTGGCAGGCATGTTCTTACAAGTGGCAGCTGCGTGACAACTGTCTGGAACAAGTCTCTGGGCCATTCCTGGCTTGCTCCTCTGCTCAGACACAATAACTGCCCAATGAGGCCTCTACATGCTCCAGAGAAAGGGAGTGTCCCACACTTCACACTCTGAAGGGACGTTTAGTGAAAAAGCCAGGCCAGAAACTGAGACAGGCCCAGAGCTGCGTAAACCAAAAATTGGGCTGAGCCGTTAGCCAGCCGTTAGCCAACCCGTTAGCCAGGGTGCAAAGGAAAGTTCTGGAAAGAAATGGAAAGTGCTGCTGCCATGGGCATGCAAATGATCAAAAAAAAAGGGGGGGGGGGGGGACAGAGGACTTTGAGCAGGAGGACAGCTGCGCGATCTGGGCAAAAGCCCAATCCAGCCCTTACAGGCCCTGAAGCCACAGCCTCATCACAGTGAGGCCCTGACTCTCGTCCTTCCATGAAGGCTGAGAGAGCAGAGGAGGCTGCAGAAGAAAAGTCTGAAGCAGCTTAGGCTGGTTCCTGGGAATGAAGGGAAGGGCTGTCTCCATAACATCAGGGTACCAGGGGAGGCAGCCCGGACTGACAGAGAGGCCGCAACAAACTCTCTGAAAGATCTGGCTGGTATCAGTGATTAGCAAGAGACTCTCTGTGTATACCACTGATTCCCAAAATGGGGAGCACTGTCCCCTGGGGTGCTGGAATTAACACCAGAAGGGTGTTAATAGTTGCAAAGACAATTGGGGAGAGGGGCTTTCTGTGGGCTTGCTTAGATAAGGTAGATTTCCAGAAGGGCACTAAGTAATTCTTTTGAAAAGGGGGCAGTAGGATCTGGGACCTTCTGGAGTAGATGAACTGACCCTCTACTAAAACAGGTGTGGAGGGGCTTGAGCAGTAGCACAGCAGGTAGGGCGTCTGCCTTGCACGTGACCGACCTGGGTTCGATTCCCAGTATCCCGTATGGTACCCCGAGCACCACCAGAAGTAATTCCTAAGTGAAGAGCCAGAAGTAACCCCTGTGCATCGCCGGGTGTGACCCAAAAAAAGCAAAAAATAAAATAAAATAGGTGTGGAAGAGTTTCGTAACTGAAGACAAGTTAATGCCAGAAATGTTTTTTCCAAGTATTAGGGATCTCTTCCATACAAAAGTGTTCCAGCCCTCCGATTAATCTCTCTGGCCCCACCAATGCCTAACTTTAGAGCTTCCACTTACAAGACAGGCAGGGGCAAATGCAGCTGTACCTTGAAGGAAAGCTATTGCTCATTCACAGTTTGAAATGCCGAGGAACCCCAGGGAAGGGGCCAGGGCCAGATACAATCCAGAGGTGAGGACATGTCCCTTGCATGCAGCTGCAGCTGGGAAAATGGTTCAAATCTTGGCACTGCATATGGTCCCCCAAGCACCACCAAATGTGGCCCCTGACCACAGAACAAGAGTGATCCTAGATCCTAGAGCATCTCCTTGGAAGGAAAGAATGATGCTAAATCAGCCCTAAAACTGGCCCTAATTGTACATAGATAATAAAGCCTGGATAAGAACACATTTGCTTACATGGCTTACTAAGAATTATTTTTGGCAGAGGAATCACACCTGGTGATCCTCAGGGGTTACTTCTAGCTCTGCACTCAGGAATTACTCCTGGCATTGCTTGGGAGACCATGCGTATGGCAAACACCCTACCCATTGTACCATCGCTCTGGCCCCTCGCTAAGGATTTTATTTTATTTTTTTGTTTATTTTTATTTTTTGGCTCTTTGGGTCACACCCAGCAATGCACAGAGATTGCTCCTCGCTTTGCACTCAAGAATTATTCCTGCCAGTGCTCAGGGGACCATATGGGATGCTGGGAATCAAACTCGGATCGGCCACGTGCAAGGCAAATGCCCTACCCGCTGTACTATCACTCCAGCCCCTCGCTAAGGATTTTAAGCCATGGTTAAGATCTAAAATCCTTTCTAAAGGATGCTATAGATATACTTTTGCTGAAATGACAATAAAGGGTTTAAAATAGTAGAGGGCTGGAGAATTGACTCAAAGGACTGGAGCACAAGCTTTGCACACAGGAGTGCTGGATTTGACCCCCGGCACAGTATGGTTCCTCTGACACCCCCAAAAGCTTTTCTACCACTCCATCAGTCAACAGCACCAACACAGAGCAATACACCCCCAACACGACCACTAGTGTTGAAGCCACCAAGGAAGTTGTGCTGCTTGTTGAACTCAGAGGCAGCAATGAGGTCACAATGGTGCCTCCCCTGCACCCAGGGTGGGTGCTGACACTGATGGGTGCAGCCTGGATCCTGGCACTGAGCACTGCTAAGGAGGTTTAAAAAAAAAAAAGAAAAAAAGATTAGTGCTAGCTCCCAAAAGGCCAGAGAGTTAGCACTTTTCAACACTAAGGCATTTTCAGTGAGGCAGACACAGCTTTTGTGCATGACGCCATGTGGCTTAACCCACCACAACATCATGCAAAAATCGCTTTGTGTTCCAGGACTCGCCGAGACCTCCAATCCCCACTGTGTACTCACAGTGGAGAGACTCTGAGGGAGTACAGATAACAAAAAGACCAAAGGCAGAGTCTCACACCACTGCCAATCCCACCCTCTGGCACTTAGCCTGGCACTGGCCTCAGGAAGCAGTCAGCACTCCAGGACCAAGTGTGCTGATCAGGGCCCTCCACAGGAAGGGGACACAGTGGGGAGGTGAGATGGCCAGTGACCACCAAGAGGGAAGAACATCTTGTGAAGTTCTCAAAGGTCTTCACAGCTTGGTTTGAAAAGGAGAATCCCCAAGAGTCCCTATGTGGCACTGGCAGGAAGCAGGTGAGAGAACCGTCCTACTGGCTGGACCTGTTACCTCTCCCAAAACAGGAAAGATGATGCTGAGGTCAGACCAGAAGCCCAGAGGGGGCCTCAGGCCTTAGGGACTCCCAGTGCTCGCCGGTTGAGCTCCAATGTGCCCTTGTGAGCAGAGGGCCTTTGCCCGGCCACCCTGGAGTATCTGCCACATGGAGTGGGTGATGATCAGCCATCCACGGCCCTGACCTGAATGTTGAACAGATAACTAATGTGGGAAAAAAGCTCCAAGGAGCTGGTAGGCAATGAGAGCATTTTATTTGGGCAAGGAAGGAGCATGGAGGGTGTGAGGGCATACACAGGGGAGGGTGCATCCTGCCTCTGATGGCCCCAGTGGCCCTGCCTCCTGGTGTCCATTCTGGTGTACAGGTGGCTAGCAAAGTTTTTTTTTAATGGCAAAACTGATCAGCATTGATTCTGAGGCTATCCTGTGCTCCTTCCTGGGTGTCTGGGGGCTCCTCACGCAAGCACCCTATCCTCAGTGCTTCCATGTAGTCTGCAACCAGGACACAAGATCGGCTGGAACCACCGTGCCTGAGGAGCAGGCTGGTCTTCTGTACTCTACCAACATCCCTGCAATAACGCAGCCTTCCCAGCCTGACCCACTGTGGAATGACTCACATCTAGACCTCACCTGGATCACAACTCACGTTCAGTTACACACCTGGCCCCTGGCCCACAGAAATGGAGATAACAGAGTGCTGCGTTAAGCTGATAAACCTTAGAAAAATGGGTCAGTTTAGGTGTGATTATTGCCATGCCCTGAGCCCAGTTAGTTCCAACCAGAAGCACATCTACAAGGTGGCGTGTCTGACTCGCGTGCCCCCCGCCCCCCGCATCTGTCAACTGTGTGGCCCTGACTCGGGGGGTACCTGAGCAGTAGGTCTCTCCTGCACACAGGTGTGAAGCCATCACCTTGGGGCCAGTAGACGTGGGTTCCAACATTGTTCCCCTAAACACTGCCTGCCTGGGCAGCCTGGGGCCAATCCGAGTCTTCAGATACTCATCTATAAAGTGAGAGTCACATGCCGCTGACAAGAACAACACCTGTTCCCCTAACTGCAGCGCCCAGCTCACAGGAGAGGGGCTGAAGACAGACTGTTTTCAGGTGGAGCTTTACTTCTGCCTGAGGCCAGGTTTCTTTTCAGCAGCTGAGACTGCACAGCTATAGTGCACTGGGACTCTGCAGGGCAAGTGCTCCCTGTCCTGAGACTCTGGGGGAGTTACTGCTCCTTGTTTTGAGACTCTGTGGGGGTGAGTACTCCCTGCACTGTGACTCTGCAGGGTGAGTGCTCCCTGCACTGAGGCATCCACTTCCTTCAGGGCCTGAGCAGGTCCTATCAGCCGTCAGAGACACCCTGTGCTGGTAGGCAACCTGAGCACTCAGTTTGGCCTGGCAAGTGACCCTGGCCCTGGGCCCAGTTCCCTGAGACTCTGAAACTTTCCCCAGAGTCTTCCCTACAGGGAAGGGGCCCCACTGGGCACACTGCGCCCCTCTGGCCCCTGAGGCTGTTGGGCTGCCTTGGGCTGTCAGTCTCCTTAAGTGCTGCTGGTGCAAGCAGCTTGCCTGGCCACAGGGCAACCCCTACATCAGCATCACCTCCCTGTCTGTGGGCAGCTTTCTGGCCCAACAGCTCCCAGGTGAGTCCAGGTGGGTGTAGCAGAGTGGGGCACTCAGCACATACTCAGACCTGAGGGCTCTCCTGCGGACTGGACACTCACCCCGAAGTCGAAGCAATTGAAGGACGAGCGGAAGTAGCTCCGAGGCCCCAGGCCATACATCTTCAGGGACATCTCTGTGAGGAAGAGGCCCAGGAAGACAAACTCTGCAAAGTCTGGAAGCAGAGAAGAGAGGGTCAGTCACTGTATGCCCTGCCTCAGTGCAACCCCAGCTGCCAACAGCCAAGAAGAAGATGGCAGCTATCATGCAACAAGGTGCATCCCTGCAGTGGCCTCCTGCCAGCCCACCCACCAGGCTGCAGCGGGCCCAACTGCCTCTCCTCAGGACCCCCCAGCATTAGGTTAAGTTTGAACCCTGGCCACGGGGTCTCCCCACTAGCAGAGGGTGTCTCTACCCGGAGCATCCCCGGAGCAGCCAGGACACAGGGTCCATCTGAGTGAGCACACAGGCTCCCTTGGGCACCTACACTTCTGCAGGCCAGCCAGTAGGTGGGCACCCACAGGTCAAGCCCAGGCAGACCACTGGCCAACCCAAGAGTGGTGGGTGTCTGTGAAAATCTTCGCACTCTCCTACTGAAGCGCTGAGCAGGAATCGTTTCAAGATTCGAACCTGTAGCCTCTGACCCTGTGTCCCCAGGCCCAGAGCATCATATGACCAGGACACTAGGAGGAAGGTGTGTTCAGAAGCTGGAGAGCACCAATGGGCACCACTCAGTTGCAGCTTCTGACTAGAAGCGCTGCCAAAGTCAAAGACCTGAACCTGCTCCTCTGTGCCCTGACCGGGCCTTACCCGGCGCCTGACCTGCTCCCCCGGCCTCCCCCCACACGCCCTGACCCGGCCCCTGACCTGTTTGTTCCTCCAGCCTCCCCACCCCCATGCCCTGACCCAGCCCCTGACCTGCTCCCTCAGCCTCCCCCACCACGCCCTGACCCAGCCCCTGACCTGCTCCCCCAGCCTCCCCCCGTGTCCTGACCCAGCCCCTGACCTGCTCCCCCAGCCTCCCCACCCCAGCACCCTGACCCAGCCCCTGAACTGCTCCCCTAGCTTCCCCCCATGCACTGACCCGGCCCTATCCAGGAACCCAGCAGCCTGGCAACAGGACCCCCAAGACAAAGTAGCAGGCCTCACCCACCCAGCAGAGCTCAGGACGTTCCACACCTGAAAGCCCCACAGTCATCCACAATAGCTGGGGACCCCCACCAAGGAGGATCAGACCCCACAGGGGCCACAGATACCTAACGGCTGACCTTGAGCGTGAGCTGGCCAGTGCTCTCAAAGACCTAGGACAGAGGGGCAGACCCCCACCCAGCCCTGCTACCCCAGAAAAGAGGCTTATCCACATGGGTCCTGGGGCCACAAACACACTTCTGCTCTACATTCCAGAATCCTGCTTTAATTGGGGAGTAAGGCTGGGACGCTTGGGGTCAGTGCGTGGGTTGGCATCTGTCCTGTGAGGCCAGGGTTTACCACATGAGGACACTCCCTGTCTCTAAGGGACATGCCCTGGTGTCCCCATTCTCAAGGAACCTGCCCACTCCAACCTTCATTGAACCATGGCCCTCCCCAGCCTTTCACTGACCACTGCCCTCCCCACCTCTCACTGACTACAATCCTCTCTACCTTGCTCCCTGAGTCACGCTAGCACCATCGGGAATCTCAGGAGCTCTGAGGGGACACAGTGATGCATGGCAGATTTCTGTTTCCTAAAATGGGGATCTCCACAGGTATGTCCACATTACTGCGGGCAGTGGGAGCTCGGCCCAGCTACATACACAGCGTATGGTGAGTGTCCACAGCACTGCAGGAGTGGGGCTCAGCCCGCCTACGTACACAGTGCATGGTGAGTGTCCACAGCACTGTGGGCAGTGGGGACCCAGTCCGGCTACGTACACAGTGCAGTGGTTAGCCTCTGCGGCTGGTGGTAGTGCACCATAGCCACACACAGTGTGTTAAGGGCCACGACACACAGCACCACCCAGTAGAAGCTCTGAGCCTTGACCATGCGCCGGATGAAGAAGCGGAACATCTTCTCCTTCCGACGGAAGTATGACGAGCTCTCCGTCTTCCCGCTCTTGAGGCTGGCACGAGTGAAGGGGGACCCTGTGGGAACAGGAAGACTTTCTGAGGGTGGATGGGGACGAGGGATCCTAGCACATGCTCTGTCTCCAGCTCCACTCAACCAGGACCTGGGTCCTCGGGGAGTTCCCAAGGGGACAGTGTTCCCAGGAAGTGTTCCCCAGAAGAACAATGTCCACAGGAGGAGTACTCCCAGAACAGTGTCCCCAGGAGGGATATTCCCAGGTGGACAGTGTCCCCAGAAGAGCTTCAGGCTTTGATATCAGCACTGAGCACACAAATGTACACATATACACGAAATATACACATATGCACGCACACTCATACACACTCCATACCCCAGCAGGCCCTGACCCACCACCCTTCACAAATGGGAATGAGCCCTTGCTCACTTGGGCTTCTGGGTGGAAACAGGCATCCCTGGCCTCCCCGGGAGCTGAATCCTGAAGCCCAGGCAACCCACCTCCATGGGGCCTGGGGGCGCTGCCTGCTTCCAAGTCCCCAGCCCCAGCTCAGCAAGCACAGAGCATCTAGACAGAGATGCTGCTATGGGAGGTAGCGGCGAAGGCCACGAGCCCTCCCTTGGAGAGCCGGCTCAAGCATCACTGAGTCTCATAGCGCCTTGCACGCTCCCACGGACCCCAGTGTACAAGACTGCGTCCCTCATCATCAGCACTGAGCACGCACATACACACACACACACACACTTTACAGACATGCACACACATACATGTGTACCCTCAGTTGAGCCTTACATCATCCACACCAAGCACACACTCCACACCCCAATGCAGAGACCCTGAGTCCAGGCTCCATGTGCAAGGCTGATGCTGAGATGCTCAGAGGACTGAAGCAAGGACAAGTATGGACCCGCAGACAACCACCCGCCCGGGGTGCCAGGAGACGCACACTATATACACACAGCAAGAATGTCCCCTCCCCCAGCCCCAAGTACCCTCAGAATCATCCAGCATGGCCAGGGTGGCTTCCTGGACAGCAGTTAAGTGCTGCCCTGCACAGTCCAGGGCACAGCAGGGACAGCAGGGACAGGCTACCAACTGATCCCCTCCAGCCAGGCTCCTATCTCCAGCAGATGGCCTGTGCCATATTCGCCAACACCCCCGTCTGTGCACATGGTAGGAAGAAACAGCCATGGCCATAGCCCAGGAGAGTGGCCTCTGCTTTTCAAGTCTCTGCTAGATCTAGGCTGAACTCACTCAGCATATATTCTTTAGAACAAAAAAGCCTATTTCAAGAAAAGGTGATTTTTGAGCACGATGGACATGGAGAACTAAACCGACTGGTAGGTGACGCGGTCAGCCTGCATCAGAACAAGCTGGCGGACTGGGCCCTCTGCGTCTGGGTGTGGGCTGTGTGAGTGTGAGTGCATGAGTGTGGAAGCACATAGAAGTATGAGAATATGTGTGAAAGTGTGTATGTGAGAGAGTGCATGCGTGTTCCTGTGTTAGTGAGTATGAATATGTGTATATAACTTGTGTGAGTTATGCAAGAATGTGTGTGAGTGTTGTGACGAGTGTGAAAGTGTGTGTATGTTTGTGTGAAAGTCTGTGGGTATGAATGTGTGTGTGTAGATGTGAGGGCAGGTACGAAAGTGTGTATGTTTTGTGACTGTGAGAGTTGTATGTGTTTGTATGTGCTGTGTTTGTGTGTGTGAAAGTTCATATAAGAGCATGTATGGGTGTGTGTTGTGAATGTGAGTGTGTATGAGAATATGTATGAGTTCTGTGTGAGTGTGTGATGCTGTGCAACAGTGAGTGTGCATGTGTGTGAGTGTATGAGTGTATGTGTGTTGGGAGAATAAGTGTGTTTGAGTGTGTATGTGTTTGTGTGCTGATGAGTGTGTGTTTATATGTTTATGAGTGTGTGTTTTTGAGTGGGGGGTGTGGCTTGTGAGTATGTGAGCATGTGTGTATGTGCATGTATGTGTGTGTGTTTGAGTGTTTGTAAATGTGGGTGTGGTGTAAATATGTGAACATGTGCATGTGTGTTTCTGAGTGTGTAAATGTGTATTATATGTGTGCATTTGTAAGTGGGTGTGAGAGTGTGTGTTTGTATGTGTGAGTGTGTGTTTGTGAGTGGGAGGGGGTGTGTACTGGGGTCAGGGTGAGGATGGAAGGGAACAGGCGGGAACCAATTGGGCCAGTGAAGGTATGAACCAGATGGACAAGCCTGATAGACACCAGCACACACTGTCCTGCAGTCACTGACCTTCTGGCCAGTGAAGGGACAAACAAGTGTTGCCCCTTGCAGTGGGCGGGTATCCCCACCAGAGTGAGCAACAGAAGTGATGCAACTGCTGGTAGAGTTCTCACGGGAGGGGAGTGACACCTACCCTTCTGGATGTGTGGGCACAGCAGCTCAGTCCCAGCAAAGCAGGAGGTCTCAGAGAATGCCGGGACTGTGTGGCTTGCTCCTGGCTAGCTGCCTGAGGGCTGAACAGGAGCACCGGATACCCAGGAGGAATGGTCAGTGGCCCTGGGGCTTCAATGCAGCCCAAATGGCCAAATATAATGACCATGAGAAACTGGCAACACAGAGGAAGCATCATACTCCCCTGTAGAGGGATGTACTCTCATGTGTTTGCTTGCTTGTCTGGGGGCCACACCGGCCATGCTCAGGGGGTTACTGCCTGGTGGTGCTGGGGATCAAACCCATGATGGCCAAATCTTTGGAGGCACCATTGCAGTCCAGAGTTACGTGCACTCTTAACCCAAACTAGTAGCCTAGAGTACAAAGCACAATAAATAACCTGGCAAAGAAATAAGGAAAGGGAATGGGAATGTAGCTCAGAGGAAGACAATTCCTTGCTTTTGCTTTTGCTTTTGTTTTGGAATCATACCCTTCAGTGTTTGTAGGACAACACAGGTTTGTCCTTTCTCCCTTGCTACAAGGAGCTTAGGTTTATCAGGTTACACCTATCACAGTCACTCCCATTCCTCTGTGCTTATCTGTAACTTCTCCATGCTCTCTTCCGCAACCAGTTAATCAGCTTTTTCCCCTAATCAGATTCTGTTAATTTGTAAGGTTAGATTCCTCAGAAATCTATGATTTTATATGTATGAGTGAAATGTTGCCTTTCTTTCTCCTCTCCTTATATCTTTTGAATCATTTACTTTAAAGCAATGCCCTATGTATATGGACAAAGGAAGACAGTTAATATTATGCTTTTGCAACTTGGAAGTTAAGACTCCAAATAATACACACTCTGGGGCATCTGCTTCCTCGACTTAAGCCTCAGTTGCCCTTAGTTCCTAGCACCCAAAAAGCAGGGTCCTGACGAGGGACTGAATGGACCCAGGGCAAGCTGTGAGCTACCCTGGCTTCGAAATGGGCCAGGCCAAAATGCCACAATACTCAACTATAAGTTGAGAGCATGGTCATGGACAAATGCTGTCATGATCCAAAAGTAAAGATGAGATAAGGACCCTGCTAGGGATAGGTAAAACTAATCTGGCCTGAGCACTGTAATCTGAGATCGAGATGGACCTATAAGCTTAATGTATCTCTTACTGTGTCCATACAAAATAATATTATGAATGTTTATATGTTTGTTGGACAAGGAGAGGAGAAACACACCCATGGGTCTTGGGTGGGTCGTCCTACTGAATGAGAATCTGTCCTAGAAGGAGCATCCCCTGAGGGAAAGACTTTACCTCTGTTGATTGTGACCACACCTATGTGTAAGCACCAACCCCTCAAGCTGGGGGATTTAACTAGGCTGTAAGAGGGGGCTGGGGAGTCAGAGCAAGAAGGAGATTGAAAGGGGGATCAAGAAGGAGAATGAAGTAGCATGGGGGAGGAAGAAGCAGGAGGAGAATCAGGGGAGAATGGAGATGGGAATGGAATAAACTGCAACTGACACCAACCAGCCTGGCCCTCGTTCCTTCCTTTGCCTGCCCATCACCATCAGCCTCCCCAAAGTGGGGGAAGCAGCATGAGACTACAGAACACAAGCGGCAGGAGAGATAGAGCACCACAGCCCTTTGGAAAATATGCAAGTGTTCAGGAACAATTCCTGGTTTTGTGCTCAAAAGTGACTCTTGGCAACGCTGAAGGGCTGTATGTGGTGCTGAGATTCAAACCAGGATGGCTGCATTAAAAAAAAAAAGTGCTGGGGCTAAAGTGATAGCACAGTGGGGACGGCGCCCAAGTAGGTTTGATCCCCAGCATCCCATGTGGTGCCCTGAGCAGTGCCAGGAGTGATCCCTGAGTGCAGAGGCAGGAGAAACCCCTGAGCATCGCTGGGTGTGCCCCCTCAAAAAGCATCTTACATCTTACCCCTATACTATCTGCCCAGCCCTGAGCATGTGTGAAAGTGTGACTTAGATCCTAGGGAGCACCGAATAAAGGGTGTTGGGAGGATCCTCCCAGGATGGGAGATGCATGCTGAAAGTAGACTACAGACAGAACATGATTGCCACTCAATGCCTCTTTTGCAAACCACAGCACCCAAAAGGAGAGAGAGAACAAAAGGAAATGCCCTGCCACAGAGGCAGGGTGGATGGAGTGGGGGGAGTGAGCGGGAAAGGGAGGGATACTGGGATCAGTGGCGGTGGAGAATGAGCACTGGTGGAGGGATGGGTACTTGATCATTGTATAACTGAAACCAAAGCACAAAAATTTGTAAGTCTACAACTGTACCTTATGGTGTTTCACTAATAAAAATTTTTTAAAAAAAAAACGCAAAGAAAGAGAAAGCAATTAGAGGGGTAAATGCAGCACAGAGGCAAAAAGCTGGAGACACGGATGAAGTAGCAGGGTCTCCAGTGGCTGGGACACTGAACTGAGGGAGTGAGGGAGAGACCCTGAGCACAGACAGGAGCACCAGTGTGAACACCAAAGAGATTCAGCATGGAGCCCAGAAGACAGGAGGAGACAGCAAGGAGTCCCCTGGGAAAGCTGCCCCAGCCACAGCCCTCATTAGACCACTCAAGTGAGGGAGAAGCCCCAATGTCCCAGCAGAGCTGGCTGGACATAATCCTCTGATGACCCTAAGACCCAGGAGGCCCACGCACGAGGCAGCTGTGCAGGGGCCCCGACCCAGGAGACATGAGGGCCCACGCACGAGGCAGCTGTGCAGGGGCCCCGGGTAGGAAGGGGTATGGGACAGGAAACAGAGCGACTTCGTGGGGGACATGATGGGTCACATGACCAGAAATGAACCAAGGAAGCCAAGAAGCATTTCCAGCTGGGAGTGCGGGGTCAGCCTGGAGGAAGAAGAAGCAGATGCCAAAGTCTCCCAGGGGACTAAGCATGAAGGAGAGGCTAGAGAGGAACAGGATGTGGACAGCAAGAGGGGAGGAGTGGGGCAAGTGAAAGTGGGAGTCAGAACACAATGCAATGCGTTCCACTCCTGCTACTGGCACCCAGGATGGGCTGCCCCTGACAGACCACAGGCCCAGGTTTGGAATAGCAAAAGCCAGCTAAATGTAACTCACAAGAACACTCAGCATCTTCAGCACTGTCGGGGAAAGTAGCAACGGGGACCAGAGCAACAGACAGGAGGGAAGCCATTTGTCTTGCACACAGCCAACCTGGGTTGGATCCCAGATATTCCATAGGTTCCCTGTTACCCTGTGCCCCCACCCCCACCCCAGAATGATTCCTGAGTGCAGAGCCAGGAGAAACCCTTGAGTATTGCGAGATGTGGCCCAAAAGCAAAAAAAAAAAGTGGGAGGAAAGAGGAGCAGAAAATAAAAGCTAAAGACTGAGATCAAAGCCAGCAGACTCAGCAGCAGTCTCTGGCCAGAGAGAAGGCACTGTGGGTGCCCAGGGACACAAGCTGCTGGAGCAACCCAGAGCAGGAGAAACACTTGCCAGACTTCAGGGCAGAGCTGCATGGTGGGCTCACACCTGTCATTGAGGCCCCTCTGCAGGGCTGGGAGGCTGGAGTCCCGGCATACACAGGCAAGACGCAGAGCTGGCCCTGGGGTCAGCAGTTCAGCCGCCCCACATGGGCCCAAGCCGCAGAGACATGGAGACGACCCAAGAGCCACCCACAGAGGAACGGATAAAGAAAACCTGGTCTCTCCACATGACTGAACACGATCCAGCTGCTAAACAGAGAAACTGGGCCACAGGCAGACACACATTGGGGCGAGGAAATAAGGCAGACCCTTTAGAAAGGCAAGAGCACTGCCAGTCCACAGGGCGCCCAGCTGGAGCATACACATGGACACGGATCCAAGGTCCACCAGTGTCCAAGCACCTGGACATCTATGCACCCTGACCTGACCTGCCAAGTAGCACCAGTCCCTGCTGAGGCATCCGCATGTTTTTTTAACAAAGAAAAAGAAACAGCCGCACACATAGAAATCACAGCTGTCGGGGCTGCGGTACAGCTGTGCCATGGGAGCCGGGATTCATCACCAGCACCAGCAGGAACAACCCCCAAGCACCGGGCCAGGTGTGGCTCTTGAGCACCACTGGGTGTGACTCAAAACAAACAAAAATAACTGAGTAATAATCAAGCTACCCGTGATATATTCGATATGCCAAACACAGTAACAATAAAGTCTGCCATGGAGACATTACTGGGCCCGCTCGAGCAAATCGATGAACAACGGGAGGACAGGACAGTGACAGTGATAGGCCAGTGACAATAATAAAAAATAATGTAGGAAGATTAAATAAATAAAACATAAAACAAAAAAAACACTAAAATCTGGTTATTTTATATGATCATTCAAATATATCAACCCAACATGAGGCAAATTAAGAAAATCCAAAGTGGAGAGTTGGAGTGATAGCACAGCAGGTAAGGCATTTGCCTTGCACACGGCCGACCGAGTTTCAATTCCCAGCATCCCACAGGGTTCCCCAAGCACCACTGGGAGTAATTCCTGAATGCAGAGCCAGGAGTAACCCCTGAGCATTGCTGGGTGTGACCCAAAAAGAAAAAAAAAATCAAAAGTCCCTCCAGCATAGAAACAGCCTAGCCCCACAAGCCATTCTCCAAAAGATTGCCAAGCAGCTAAATCATCCCAGAGGGCCAATCTCTGGGCTGAGAGCACTGGGGCTTTCTCGGGAGGGGAGTGGGCACATTCCCCTCAGCCCACCCACCATCAATGAAGTACCAGCAGTTCCCGCCCACAACAGTTCCCGGCATAGAACAGCCCAGCTCCACAACTAACCTCGAAAAGCACCTGATGCTGCTGAATTGCCACAGGCTGAGATCTCTGGGGCCTTCTCAGAATGGGGGCAGGCAGATTCCCCTCCCTGCCGGCAAGCCCAGCAGCCCCCACCCACCTACCCTCAGGCATAGAAACGGCACAGCTCCACAACCAAACCTCACTGATCCTTTGAGCCACCAAATCATACCAGTCCACACCTCCAAATTTCACAGTACTGGCAGCCCAGTGAAAACACAGCAAATTTGATGGGAAAGTTGCGTAGACACCTACCAAGCTCTATGGGCAAAAACTACTGTAAGGTTCAACTAGCTAGCACCAACCAGCTCAGTAAATCCTCACGCAATGACTCAAATAACATCACTGTGAGATATAACAATTATCACAAAATGACTTTAGTTGATCTATCTTTTGATAACTCCATTTGCTTTTTGTTGTAACATGAAATATGAAGTAATATGGATAAGTGGTATAGCCATATATCCAAATCACAGACTCAACAAAAGGGAAAACATGAAATCTAAGCTGCAAATACTGAAACTATGTAACATGCCTGTCAAGTTGAGGGGATGGGGTGTAGGTTGGGGGTAGTGAGGGAATATGGGAACACTGGTGAAGGAAGTTGACTCTGGTGGTGAGATTAGTGTTGAAATATTATATGTTTAAAACTCAACTAACAATAACTTGTAAATCACAGTTCTTTAATTTTTTAAATAAAAAGAAACAAATATGAAGTGAATTTGTTTGTGCCTGCTAAAAGGGTCAGCTTGGGTAGTGGGTAGGAAACTGGGGGCACTGGTGGAGGGAAGGTCACACTGATGGTGGAATGTGGAATTGATGTTGGAACACTGAATGCCTGAAACAACTGTATTATAAACAATTTTATTAATTATATGCTATAAAAAACATAAGCAAAAATAAACATACTGGCACCAGAGTGACAGGACGTGGGTAGGGAGCTTCCTTGTAAGCAACCAAGCAAGGTTTGATCCCCAGCACTCCATAATGTCCTCTGGGCCCCACCACATAGAGCCAGGAGTAAACCCTAAAGGGGAGCCCCCCAAAAAAAGAAAACTAAATAACCAAAACCAGAAAAAGGCAGAACCAGATTTGATGCATGCTGTCAGCCTTGAGCTGTATTGGGGTTGATACGTGATAGCATCTCTGAGCTGAGCCTGGATGTGTATGTCATCTCTGAACTGAGCCTGGGTATGTGATGTCATCTCTGAGATAGGGCTCAAGAAGTGTGATGTTGGTGTCTGTGCTGAACCACCTCACAGAACACTCTACCTGCTCACCCCCAATTAGCTGCCCCCGCCCTCACGCTCAACACTCATCACATGCCCACTCTCCCACCGTAACACCTTCACCGTCAGCAGCATCTGGCACTGTGAACTAAATTTGGGTCATGTGCCTGCCTGAAACCCACCCTGCAGGATCCTCCAGAGCCTCCTTGGACGTCCCGCCAGCTGGCTGCTGCAGAGTAGCCCATGAGTCCAGGGCTTGTCTCTCAAACGGGCAGAGGACAGCCACAGTCGGACCACAGCAGTGTGGTTGGGCCACAGCCCCCCTGTGCTCAGCACCTCGGCCAGCAGCCAGAGAAGACCTATCTCTGCAAACACGGCCAGGGTTCTTGTGAGGCCTTCCCCCACCAGGACCCTGGGTTTCCCTCGGCGGCGGCTGCTTCTCACCCACATCTCCCCACTAAAAGACCCTGGGATGCCTACAAGCTCCTGCTATGGGCCTGCAAGCCTCTGTGCCATCTTCCCACCCTTCTGCTCTTTGCTCACAAGCAACCCTGCAGGCTTCTGTGCCCTTTCCACAGTGGCAAGCCCCTGCCAGCTGTCTCCTGTTGATTAACTTCACCAAAGAACTACTGGGCCAAGATTGTCTACCTGCGCCTGGGCCCACGGGTGAAGGTCAGAGGGGAAGGGACTTCACTGGTCAGTGCTGTGTGGCCTAGAGCTGCATCCGCAGTCACTGCACATGAGGGCGGGAAACAGTTCCACCTGGTCCCCATAAGTTTTAGAAGCCAGGTGGAAGTGAGGCTCCGACAGGCCCCAGGTGTGTGAAGACAGATGGAGCCAGGTGGGGCCAGCCAGAACCCCAAATCCCCCATCAGGGCCCTCAGCAAGCAGAGCACATGTGAGCTAACAAGGACGGCCAGAAGAGGGCCATGGCTGCGCCAGAGCACAGGCCCACACTCACCGACTGCACTGAGGTCCGCGAAACGGTCCTCGCCCTCCTCTGCATGTATCAGGTCGTTGCGGCTCTTCTTGGTGGCCGCTCTCTTCAGCACTGCTTTAAACAAAGGTGGGGCCGCTGCACGGCTGAGCCCAATACCATGCACACAGAGGCCCTCCACCAAGGACACAGCCACGGTTATGGATGGTGGGGGAGGGGGCTCAAGTGAGCAGAGCTTGGATGGCGCCTGACCCCACTGGGATGGCAGAGGGAAAAGAGAGTCACAGGCGAGCCCGGAGCCTACCCCCAGCCCCCAGGGCCATCACTGTCAGAGCCTTTTCCAGAACAGCTCACAAGACAAAGGTGGGTAGCAATAGGGCAGAGCCCACTGGGTCTCTGAGCATAGGGGCCCAGGGCTTCCCCACGCAGGCAGTGCCAGGGGTGGTCACCTACCGTCCAAAGGGGACTTCTCTTCTGCATTCTTGTCCTCCTCTGCCAGCATGACTTCCTCTGTGAGGGAGACACGGCTCAGGGGACCCACCCACCTGTGCCACACCCAAGACAAGGCAGACCTGCCTTCTCCGGGGCTCCCGGCAGTGCCCACGAGAGGCGGGCTGCTCTCCAAGGCTCCTGTGGGCACCCTGGGAGAAGGCTGAGAGGGAAGTTGCAGCTCAGGCCTGGGGCCCAAGGTGAACAGGGCTCTGGTGGTGACAACTGGAGGCCAGGCCAACCATCACGTCCTCAGCGCCACCCACCGTCTCCCTACAAAGACCTGTGAGGGCTCCACGGCAGAGGAAAGGGTCGATGAGGGTGGGCAGGCAGGGTCCTCACCAGCCTTGAAGATCCACTCCAGGTACCCGTTCAGCTCCCGCTCAATCTGCTGCTGCCGGCGGAGCTTCAGAAATGCCCTGCGGTTCTCCACCCTCTCCCGCTCCTTCGCAAATTCTCTGCAGTGAGGGCAGAGCAGGTGTGTGAGAGCAATTGAGTGTGCAAGCAAGTGAGTGTGAGCAAAGCAAGAGTGTGAGCAGAGCAGGAGAGGCTGAACGTTCCCCAGAAAACAAAAGCCTGAGAAGAGCCTGGACTGGGAACCAGCCTCCGGCTCAGCCCCACCTCCATCTCTTCCCACCTGTGCTGGGTGAGGGGGCAAAGAGAGCTCCCTCGGCCCCCAGAGGCCCCATGCCACCCACATCCATAAGTGAACAGAGTGCCATGCCCTACACAGGCCTGCCAGACTCTGATCTCCAGACCACAAAGCCACAGTCCTGCACAGTCTCCCTCTGGATTCTGACCACAGGCTCTGCTAGGAGAATAGAGACAGGGCATAGATTGGCACAGGGTCAGTGAGACCTGCTGATAAGCGAAGGTCCAAACTACCATATGGCCACCTGCCTGACCTTCTGAAATGCAGCTGGGAACCAAGGACCCCTCAGGCTGGTTGTTGAGTGTCCTGGTCACCAAGCCAGAGTGAAATACTCACACCATGTCCTCACAGAGCCACACCTACAGTGCCCGTGCTAGCACCACTGTCCACCTACCCTGGTCCACATCCGGCCAGCTGTGTCCTGCACCTCTGTCTCTCCACCCTCCCAAAGCAAAGTGTTGGCTGCAGAGGGTCACTAAGCCGAGCCCCTAGCTGCAGGATGCAAGGGAGGCATCCATGCATAGCACACCAGCTCTTACCCCGAGAGCACGCCCAGCACCAGGTTGAGCATGAAGAAGGAGCCAATGATGATGAGGGGGATGAAGTAGAGCCAGTTCCAGGTGTTGCCTGCCGCATCGTTTGTCTGCAAGCAAGCAGGGATGAGGTCAGGCCGGCCAGCAGCCCGCACAAGAAGGGCCAGCCCTCCAGAGCACTATCAGGCCCAGGCAGGGCAGTCCAAAACAGGATGGGGACAGTGCTGGCCCATGCACAGCCCACAGCACACCTGCACCAGTCTCTCAAGGACCAAGGACACAGACACCTAGCAAGTGCCCAGTGACACCAAACCAGACAGAGTCACTGGGGAGCTGGCCCAAAGCAGCACTGAGGCTACAGCCCCCTTTTCTGCACGGCCCTCCCAGCCATCCACTGCAGGCCCCTTCTCTGCAGGGCCCTCCCCAGCCGTCCACTGCAGGCCCCTTCTCTGCCCAGCCCTCCCCAGCCATCCACTACAGGCCCCTTCTATGCAGGGCCCTTCCCAGCATTCCCACTGCAGGACCCTTCTCTTCTCTGCACGATGCCTCTCTGCATGGACTCAGCTCGGCTGTGGGAACCTCCCCTGCAGGAACCAACGTCCCCAATCAGAGCTGCAGAGAAGGGGCCTGCAGTGAAGCTCGCTCCTTCCCTGCAAGGACCTGTGTTCCCACACCCCAGCTGTGGGACCTTCCCCTGCATGGGCCCATGTCCCCCAACCACAGCTGCAGCACAAGCCAGGCAACTCCACAGACATGTCTCTGGTGTGGAACTTGGGGGACCATATGGGGTGCCAGGGATTGAACCCGGGTCTGCCCCATGCAAGACAAGCATCCTACCCACTGTTCTATCTCTATGGCCCTGTGAAAAGTTTTGTTTCTTAGACAGCAAAGCATGTATCCACTACATAGGCCAAAACTTGCACTTGTGAGCCTTAACCCAAGAGAGGAGCAAACACGTCTGTGAAAGGCCACACACAGGTGTGCAAACCAACCACACTAGTCACAGCCCCAACTGGGAACCCCCCACCACCCCTTTAATAGTGATGGCTGGGGTCTGGAGAGATAGCACAGCAGGTAAGGCTTTTGCCTTGCACGCGGCTGACCCGGGTTTGATTCCCAGCATCCCATATGGTCCCCTGAGCACTGCCAGGAGTAACTCCTGAGTGCAGAGCCAGGAGTAACCCCTGTGCATCGCCGGGTGTGACCCAAAAAGCAAAAGAAAAAAAAATAGTGATGGCTGTGTCCACCGCAGGCTGCCCTTACCATGGGATCTGTGCAGCAGTGAGGAGCAAGCACCAGAACACATTCTCACATATACACAGTCACACACATATTCTGTAGATACACAGTCATTCACAGTCACATAGTCACACAAAGACACACTCACACAGATACATGTACAAAACACATACACCCACACACATATATTCACACATAGTCACACACACATACGGAATCAAACACACACACATGTACACACAGACACATACACTCATACTTACATACACACAATCACACACACACTCACGTGCACACAGTCACATGCATATTCACACTGACAGACTTTCAAAGTCATATTCATGCAGTCACACACATACACACATGTATACTCACACACTCATACATACACAATCACACATACTCATTCACACACTCACCTACACAATCATACCCATTCACACACACAGCCACACACTTATAGTTATACACATATACATACTCACATACACATACACACAAACACATATACTCATGAGTACACATGCACATTCCACATACCCACAGGCACACACATGCATACACTCACATACTCTCACATAGTCACAGAGATACACAATCACATACTCATACACACATCCAGTCACATATGCTCACACTCACAGCACATATACACTCAGATGCACAATCACACACACTCAGTCTCACATAGTCACATACATTGATACACTCACATACATACACGTACCAAGACACATATAGTCACACATACACACACGCTCATACAAACTCACGTATCCATGTGCTCATACACACTCACATGTTCACGTGTGAGGCAATGAACTGAGGCTACCAAGGATGAGAGGTGAGCTGAGGAGTGGGTGTGACTCTGAGTGTGTGGCTCCAGGGGTGCTAGATGTTTTGCACCTGGGTGTGCTGGCTGTGAGGAAGCAGGGTGTGGGTTCCTGGCTTCTCTGTCTTACTAGAAAAGGCCTCATTGCTCCAGTCGAATCCTCCCTCGTCCACCGTTCTCTCCAGCTCCAGGGAAACCCTTGTCTACTGGATCCTCCTCCCTCTACCCTCTGGTCCACACACCACTGGTCTTGCCCACCCCGACACACACACTGCCCTGTGCCCAGGATGCCTGGTGAACAGGCACTGCTTTGCTGATGACTCCTGGGTAACAGAGCCCTCTGAAATCACTCTGAGCAGAAAACAGCCTTGGTTCCATAATAAAATGTCCACTCACAGCAGTCACAGAGTTATTAATAATCCTGACACGTAACGTTTGCCTGCACAGCTGGACACTCCCACAGAAAGGAGGGTTGAGGCCCTGAGCTGACCCAGGCTGGCCTCACAATGCTCAAGAAGGGGAAGGTAGAGATGGGGGCAGGACGTGCTTGCTCGTCCTGAGCTTCTCTCCCAAGCCCACCCTCCTGGCACCATGCCTCTGCCCAGCCTGCTTCTTGGACCCATCCCCAGAATAGATCTGCAGGGGAGATGAGTCCAGGAACCTGGCCCTGCCTGTCGACCCAGAGGTTGGGCACTACTCCTGGGTGGGGCTCGGCATCACTCACTGTCTCCTCACCATCCCTCCCTGAACATCACTCACTGGCCCTCGCTCACCACCCATCACTGGGCATCACTCACTGTCCCTCACCAATGTCCCTCACTGTCCCTTACCATCCCTCACTGGGCATCACTCACTGTCACTGTCACTCACTGTTTCTCCCTGGACATCACTCACTGACCCTCAATGTCCCTGTCTGGGTGTCCTTCTCTCAGAGGGGCTGGCAGGCTGGGTTGCCTGAGCTTGTAGAACTGCCCCTTCCTGTGCTGAAGAGTGAGAAGAGCCCATTCTGGGTGTCCTGCCCTACCCCACTGCCTGTCCCAGATTCAGATGCTGGCTGTCTGGGAGGCTTGGCTCTCACAGCTGCTCCTATTACCCTCCTCCATCTCCTGTGCCCAAGCTCCATGACCCTCCAGAGGTGCCACCATCCTGTTTTCCCAGCCCCACCCATGTGTCCCCACACCATGCCCACAGCACCTCCCTCCAGTCCCCTCATACCCAAGCAGACTCAGGGTCCTCAAGGTCACCCAGTAGCTGCCCTCCCTGACCCCCAGCTCCCAGGAACTGGTCACAAGACTCAGGGCCCGCATGGAGCTGAGTGGGGTGCACACATACAGAAATGAGCAGCATCCACTTAGGAGTCAATGGTGCAGCTCCAGGAAGAATTGGGGCTTAGGGCATATGAGTGACAAGGGTCACCAGGCCTCCAAGGGCCTTATATCCAAGGCGCGTGTCAACCACCAGGCCCAGACCACCAAGCACTGGCAAGACTCAGGGCCCCTGTACAAGGGAGCTACCAGCAGCCTGGTGGGGCCTTGCAATACCACAGGGGTGCTGTGTTCCCCCTCCCCCACTCCCACACCAGCAGCTGGCCCATGGGCTCTGGAACACAGCCAAAGTCAAAGGCAAGATGGGCACCCAAGAATCACAGCAGAACAGTCACTTCCTGGAACGCAGTGAGCTGGCCAGGAAATGAGGGTCCCACAGGCTCCCTGCCTGCCCAGCACTCCTGTCTGGTTGGAGTTCTTGGGGCGACATGGTTGGCAGAACACAGACCGCACAGTCCCCCAGAGTGAGGCCTGCCCACCGTCACTGCCTTTCTCCAGAATGTTCTTTACTGATGCCAGCACCTTCACCAGCTCCACCTTGAGAGGCGCCACATGCACACACACCCTGGATCTCCCCTGAGGGAGCGGGGAGCAAACATGCTGGACACTCACGTTGTATAGGATGTCGGTCCAGCCCTCCATGGTGATGCACTGGAACACTGTCAGAATGGCAAACAGGATGTTATCGAAGTTGGTGATGCCGAAGTTGGGTCCTCGCCAGTACTCACGGCACTCGGTGTCGCCCTCACACTGCCGGGCGGGGGCCTCCTTGCCACAGGGGAAGTCGCCCACTGGGTCTGTGACCTCTGAACCTGCAGCAGAATGAGGCACAGACCCCACAAACATCAGTCAGGTCCTAGAGGTGCCCTCAGAGTGGAGCAAACATGGGAGCGGATGATGCCCTCCCAGCTCCCTGCCCTGGGAACGGCTGGTCCCGTCTGCTCTCTGGGGAGCTGCGCATCTGCTGGTAAATACCTTGGCTCAGAAACAACAAACCTGCCCCCTTCGCTTTCTCCTGCGGCACCTCAAGTTCCCATGCCTGCATATCAGCGGTCTCTCTGGAGCCCTGTGGTCCACCAGGCAGAAGCCTAGCAAGCAGGGCACACTCACCTCCTCAAGGTGGACATGCCCTCCTAGCTCTTGCCAGAGCAGCCAGGGTGGCACCAGAACCCAGTGCTGAAAGAGCATGGCAAAAGTAGCACCCTGGTTTTCCTGTCCAACGCGCCAATAAAGGAAAACCATTTCAATGAACGAATGACACGTGCAAATTCTCCCCACCAGCTGAGGAATGTCTGGGGTGGAAGAAGCACTCCCAGGCCTGGAAGACAGAACCAACCACAACAAGGTTATTCCTGTCTCTGCCCACGGAGAGGCCTGGACACTGCTGTAGGTGTGTGCACTGCTGGTCACTGCAGTCAGCCACACTTTAATCCTCTTCCTCTCCTGGAGACTGTCCCTGCTCTGCTCTACCGACTCAGCTGCAACCACCCATGACACGTGTAGTCCTTGCTTTGTTCTTGCCATCAAAGGAGAGAAAAGCTCTCAAGATTTACAAATACTCTCATTTGGTCACATTTTTCCTAGAAGCATTTTCTGCATGAACTGAGATGACCCAATGGCTTTCTCCATGCGCATATTTATAGCTTAAGTCACACAGCTGACTGCCACTTTTTCTCCTTCTTAGGATCCACAGACTCCCAGGGATTCTGTGAGTTGAGAGGTATTCCTGTGGCACAGACCAAGATGTACACACCCATAGGGACACACAACCATCTTCTCTGGGGTGGACTCAGCCCTGCTTCTGCCCGTGTCTCCCCAGAGTAGCACAGAAGGTGACTTGGAACCCTGCTCCATCTTCCCAGGGCCCTCACCCCTGCCCCAGCATCTTCCTCTCACTCTCCACCCTCACCCCTGTACTCAGCATCTCCCCTGTAGGATAACATTGGTTTGTCCTTTCTCCCTTGCCACAAGGAACTTAGGTTTATTGGGTTACACCCATTACAGTGCTCCTGAGTCACTCCCATTCCTCTGTGCTTATCTGTAACTTCTCCATGCTCTCTTTCCCAACCAGTTAATCAGCTTTTTCCCTAATCAGATTCTGTTCATTTGTAAGGTCATATCTTCTAGGACACTGAACTTGTAAGTTAATATTGCATTTCTCCTCTCCTTGTATCTTTTGAATCATTTACTTTAAAGCAATGTCCTATTTATGTGGACAAAGGAAGACAGTTAATATTATGCTTTTGTAACTTGGGAGTTAAGACTCCGAAATAATACACACTCTGGGGCATCTGTTTCCTCAACTTAAGCCTCAGTTGCCCTTAGTTGCCCTTTTGCTCCTAGCACCCAAAAAGCAAGGTCCCGACAAGGTACTGAATGGACCCAGGGCAAGCTGTGAGCTACCCTGGCAACAAAATGGGCCAGGCCAAAACGCCACGATACTCAACTATAAGTTGAGAGCATGGTCATGGACAAATGCTGTCATGATCCTAAAGTAAAGATGAGATTAGGACCCTGCTAGGGTTAGGAAAGACTAATCTGGCCTGAGCACTGTAGTCTGAGATCGAGATGGCCCTACGAGAGCAACTCTATAAGCTTAATGTATCTCTTACTGTGTCCATACAAAATGATTAATATTATGAATATGTTTGTTGGACAAGGAGAGAAACACACCCATGGGATTCTACTCTTGCTGAGTGAGAATCTGTCCTAGAAGCAGCTTTCCCTGAGAGAAGGATTTTACCCCTATTGATTGTGATCACACCTATGTGTAAGCCCCAACCCCTCATGGTTTGGGATTTAACTAGGCTGTAAGAGGGGGCTGGGGGAACCAAGAGAAAGGGAATCCAGAGCGAGAAGGAGATTGAAGGGGGATGGAGAAGGAAAATGAAGTAGCATGGGGGAGGAAGAAGCAGGAGGAGAATCAGAGGAGGATGGAGATGGGAATGGAATAAACTGCAACTGACACCAACCAGCCTGGCCCTTGTTCCCTCCTTCCTCCTTCCTTCACCATCGGCCTCCCCAGGGTGGGGGAAGTAGCCCGAGACTAGCGAGACTACTAAACACAGGCGGAGAGAGACAGAGAGAAACAGAGAGAGAGAGAGAGAGAGAGAGACAGACAGACAGACAGACAGACAGACAGACAGAGACAGAGAGAGAGACAGAGAGAGAGACAGAGACAGAGAGGCACCGCCGAGGCCCTTCATAATTTATTTTTAGTAAATACACAGCCCCCCTCACTTTTCACCCTCACCCCTGCACCCAGCACCATCCTCCTCACTCTCCACACTCAGCCCTGCACGCAGCATTTCCCCTCACCCCTGCACCCAACATCTTCCCTCCTCACATGTCCAACCAACTATCTCCTCCACAGCCAGGGAAGCACCTCCAGGAAATAGTCCCCCAGGGACCATGTTCTGCTCCCTTCCCCAGCACCCCTACACTCAGTGTTTCACTCCTGCCTGAATGCTGGTTGAAATTTCTCTGCTAGTAAAGGGCCTTTGGGGCCCATCTCCTGCAGTGTGATCTGGCCCTTGTCTGAGCCCACATGACTGCCCGGCTCACCTGTGTTATTGACGAAACAGGCCTGGTGGAATTTGCCCATGTAGAACTCCAGACCAATGATGGCGAACATGAGGATGGCGAAGAAGAGAAGCAGGCCAATCTGCAGCAGCGGGACCATGGCCTTCATGATGGACTTGAGTACCACCTGCAAACCTGGGGCGAGAGCAGCACGTCAGGGCCACCTGGGCAGGTATTGTGACAGACAGACAAGTCAGGGGAGGGTGGACAGGTGGTGGTCAGGAAGACAAGTCAAGGGAAGATGGACATGTCAGGGGCAGGTTGGGCAGATTAGATGCAGGTGGACAGGTCGGGGGCAGGTGGATGGACAGCGGCAGATGGGAAGATCTGGAGCAGAGGTGGGGACCAGATAGAGGACAGAGTTGCAAGTCCTGACCAAGAGGCTGGGCAATGAGGCAGAGCTGGAGCCCTCAGGGTAGGGAAGGAGCAGGAAACAGGGTGCTGGAGGGATTGGGGGAGCCATGTGTCAGCACTGCAGGAACAGAGCTGGGCCTAGGCTGGCACAACAAGGTCTGGACCAAGGCGTAGCATGTGGGGCTCAAGTTCCAATCCAAGTCTGATGGGCTGGGGGATCTGAGGGCCTACGAAAGAAGGGGCATCCAAGGGTGCTCAGGGGAGCATGGAGAGGCTGGGGAAAACTTTGGGGGGCCTGGGAGGAGTGTGGCATCCCTGGTAGACCCTACTCCATAGAGCGTGAAGTGGGGAGCCCCCCTTGAAGGTCCTGGAATGTGCATGTGTCCCAGAGGACATGGGCAGGTGGGTTGAGCCACTGGACAGCAGTCAGGGCGGCTCAGGAACTCACAGCTAAGCTTGTGCAATGGGAGGGACAGGCAGGGACACTGCCCAGACCGTGGCCACTCACTCACCAAGGGGCCATCCACTAGGGCAGCTCAGAAGCTGGCCCTGCATGTGCCTCTAGGCCACGTTGCCACGTGAGGACCAGATCAGGGTCCCATGCAGACTTGGGCTCTGCCCCCACCCCTGCATCAACTTGTCACATGCCCTTTAACCCCAGAAAAAGGAGCAAAGAGCTGGAAACCCTACAGAGGGTTAAGAAGGAAACAGCCATCTGGAAGGGCTGAGAGGCCCCCAGGTGGAGAGTAGGGGCTCTGCTCTGCCCATGGCCACAGGGAGGGGAGGGGAGCAGGCGGCTGTGTGGACACTCACTTGGAATCCCAGATACCAGCTTCAGGGGCCGGAGCACGCGCACGGCCCGCAGAGTTCGAAGATCAAAGTCTGTGCCTGCAGTGGCCAGGATCCTAGCAGGTGCGAGGAGCAGGGAGGCATTAGAAGTCTTGCCCTCCCCACGCGGCACCCCTGCGTCTGTCCCAGAGCCCTCCCCACCCACAAAAGTTCTGCCCTGTAAGCTCCCAGCACCAGGCCACATGCAAAGGCTCTCATGCAAACAACCCCTGCAAACACTGCAACCGCCCCCTAACTGCGGCAGCAGCAACAACATAAAGGGCAGGAGTCAAAGATCAACATGGTCAAGTCCATCAGCCTAAAAATATGCTCCACCCCCTCGCCTCAAACCAGTAGTAATTAAAAATACAGACCGAAATGATTCCACATAGACATGGTCAATTAATTCATGACAAAGGAACCAAGAATACACAATGGGAAAAGCACATCTTCCAACAGAGGGTGCTGGGAAGACTGGGCAGTCCCATGCAGCAGGAAGAAGCTACACCACACGCAAAAGTGAACTCAAACCGACTGAAACCTGAACCCATGAAACTGGAAGAGAGGAAGATAATAAGCTCCTACACATCATCTTGGCAGCATTTTGAGACCTCACAAGGCAACAAAGCCACAAGTACAGATACACTGTGAAAATCATCAACAAAATGGAAAGACAGCTGACTGGGTGGGAGAAACTATCTGCAAATGTTATTTTATAAAAGGCCAGAGAGTGGCTGAATAGAATGTACAGTCAGAAGGTCATTTGCCTTGCAAGCAGCCAACCCAGCTCATCCCTGGCACACAATATGGTCCCCCAACCACTACCAGGAGTGATTCCTGAGTGCAGAACAGGAGAAACCCCTGAGCATCACCAGGTGTGACCCCAAAACAAATAAACAAAAGGTCAGGGAGACAGGACAGTTGGTTAATCTCGTGCCTTGCATGAAGCCCCACATGTGACCCCCTGAGCACTGCCCAGAATGACCCCTGAGGACACAGCCTAGAGTAAGCCACTAAAGTGAGGCCCTGGGGCTGGAGTTATAGCACAGCGGGTAGGGCGGTTGCCTTGCACACGGCCTGACCCAGGTTCGATTCCCAGCATCCCATATGGTCCCCCGAGCACCGCAAGGAGTAATTCCTGAGTGCATGAACCAGGAGTAACCACTGTGCATCGCCGGGTGTGACCCTAAAAGCAAAAATAATAAATAAGTAAAATAAATTGAGGCCCTAAAACAAAGATTAATATAAAATTACATAAAGAACTCCAACAATTTAGTTTTAAAAGGGCAAATAAATTAAACAGATATTTTACCACATCTGTACAGATGCCAAGACCCTTGTGAGCAGGAAAAGGCGGGGTCACCAAACAGAGGTGGTGTCTCAGACCTGTGCGCAGCCATCAGGGATGGGTCGAGGGACGGCTGGGTGAAGACAGGTTACCCTGTGCCCCAGAGGGGGAGAACGCAACACATGGGGCAGTGGATGGAGCTTCCTCAGAAAAGCAGCATAAAACCCAAAAAGTAAAAGTTTTTTAAAGGGGCTGGAGTGATAGTACAGCGGGGAGGGCATTTGCCTTGCATGTGGCTGACCTGAGTTCAATCCCCGACATCCCATAGGATTCCCGGAGCACTGCAGTGAGTAATCCCTGAGCACAGAGTCAGGAGTAAACCCTGAGCACCGCCAGGTGTGGACCAAGATCAAACTGAAAAAAGCTCTAAGTAGAAAGATCTCTGCATACACACGTCCCCCATGCCCCTCATCCAGTGCTAGTCTTCACAGGAGCCCGAGCACAATGACAGTCCATTGCTCCTTAGCGCAAGAATGTGAAAGCCAAAGGGGCACACTAGGGCTGCCCAGACTGTCAGAGAAGTCCAGGTCTTCACCCCAGCACCACCAGGAACAATAGCAGCATTGACGATCGTGTAAGAACGAAAGCCCAAGTCCCTCTGTGGAGGCACCTCAATCCAGGGTGTCAAGGTCAGTAAAACAAGGCAGCAGGGAAAGGCGAGTGAGGTGTGATGACTGTGTGGACTCAGTCCGAGATCAAGGCCAGCACAGACGTCTGTCAGGGCGCTGGGCACACCAAAGCTACACACGAGCAGACCAAGCTGCCCAGCTGCACGTCTGGAAGGCGCAGAAGGAGCAGGTCTGCGTCCTCCATGCAGAGATCAAGGCGTCCAGGCACCTGGTGCTGACCAATGCCAAGGCTGCCCGTGTCCAGTGGTTACATGACAGAGACAGCAAAGCGATCCCAGCCACCTCCTCTCCAGGGGACCCTCTTCTGTCTCCCTGTCCTTCCCCACCTGACTCTTGCCTGCCCAGGTCTCGTATGCCAGCTTGGCTGCTCCACCAGACTCAAATGTGCAGGGTCCTGCCCCAGCTCCAGGTGCTGCTGCAGGCTGATCACCCGACTTATCCTTCCACCCAGACTGAGGGGCCAGGGCTCACGTGCGCTACTGTCCATGGAGCAAAGCTGATTCAGCATCACCCACATGAAGAGCACATTCAACTGTAACGCGAGTGTCAAACCACAAGCTGGAAACACTCAAGGCTGCTGCCACAGGCACCCATGGAGCCTTGACGTGAGCTCCGGTCCTGGCCCCTCTCCCAGTGCCACCCATAAACAATCCCTGATGCCCAAGCTGAGGCTACATCCAGCCTGTTCCTCTCCCCCCACTCGCTCAGCTCACCTGCCCTCCAGCCCCGCCCAGCTGTCACCTGCTCTTGCATGGCAGTGAGGGTCCAAAGGGGTCCATGCAGGACCAGAGCTGCATCAGCTCCTGGCAGAGAAATGTCTGGGTATCAGCTCCTAGAGATGAACTTGTTCTGATGAGATCAACAGATCAGGCAGCAGAAACAGCAGGTTGGGGGGAGGGGTGGGGTTCTGGGGTTACACCCAGCAGTGCTGGGGGCTACTTCTAGTTCAGTGCTCAGAGACTCAGGCAGCGGCCCTGGCACCCCTGCCAAGGAGACTGAACGAGGAATGTGCTATCTCCCCAGTCCTCATCAGTAATTTGAAAAAAACAACTACTTTGGCCGTAAATAGTCGTCGACATGCTAATAATAATCATCATCATACTCCAGGCTGGACTTTGTTGGAGAGTATCAATATTTTGGAAAACAGCTCAAAAGAGACCTAAAGAGCCTTAGGAGCCAGACTCAGCAGTGCCAGGAGCCAGCCCAGAGCCCCGCACAGGTCCGGAACACGCACGGCCAACAAAGAAGCCAGAGCAGACATCAGCTCCACACCGCAGATAAACCTCAGCGCAGAGACAACCCACAACATTTAAAGACATAAAAATAGGGCCAGAGAGCTACGCCAGGGGGTAGTGCACTTGCTTTACATGAAGCCAACCCTTGGGTGAATATCGAATATCGAATACGTCACGGGGAGCTTGCCAGGCTCTGCCGTGCAGGCGAGATACTCTCGGTAGCTTGCCGGGCTCTCCGAGAGGGGAGGAGGAATCGAACTCAGGTCGGCCATGTTGGCTGCGTGCAAGGCAAACGCCCTATAGCTGTGCTATCGCTCCAGTTCGCGTTGGTGATATTAAGGGACCAGAGCAATAGTATATTAGGTAGGGCATTTGTCTTGCATGTGGCTGACCTGGATTTGATCCCAGGTATCCCATATGGTCCCTGGAGCCTGCCAGGGGTGACCTCTAAGTGCAGAGCCAGGAGTAAGCCCTGAACACCACCAGGTGTGACCCAAAAATAAACAAGTAAAAAGAATTAGCACATCAGATCAAATGTTCAGTTTTCAAAAACAAAAGACAAAGACACAGAAAAGCACAGCCGATTTTAAAAGGGAAAAATTTCAACTAGGGCCAGAAAAAACAGCACAGAAGGTTAAGGTGCTTGTCAGGCTTACAGCTGCCCTGGCTCAATCCCCAGCATCTGGTCCCCCAAATACTGCCAGGTATCACCCCATCAATGACAAAAAAGCCAAAAGATCAGTTTACCGCCCCTCAAAAAAACTGGCTGGCAGGCCTAGTGGATAAAGGCTCCACACACTGTGGTGAGTATCCTCAGGCTGCAGCCAAGGCCCTGCGCATGACAGGCCCAGTTCAATCCCAGTACTGTGTGGTGTCCCAAGCACAGAGTCAGAAGTAGTCTCTGAGCACTGCTGGGTATAGTCTAAAACTAAAGGAGAAAACAGTGTAGACGCACCATTGTGCAGAGAGAGTCTAGGGCATGACCGTGACCAAAGATGGGCCAGGAGACCTGAGACACTCACTTGCTGCTGGGGACTGGCCGCTTAGGAGTCGCTCAGTGGTCAGCAAGTCCAAGAAGCCACCTCACTCATTACAGTGCACAGTTCTGAGCTCCCTGTCTACAGAGGAACTCGGGGTGGCCGAAGCAGGTCTGAGGCCAAGGCCACAGAACAACGACTACAGCCTTAGTCTCACAAAAAATAAGGTGGCAGAAAGCACAAAACATGTTGTCCCCAAGCAAATCATTACGGTAAATGGATAACACCTCATCTCTCCCATATTTGATTAATATAAAATAATACTAACAAGATGTGAAACATCCTGAATTTCAAGATTATTTTTAGGAAGTTGCTACCAAAACTGGCTGTCTATGATACTGTGGCTGTTTCTAAGAGAATGTCTTTTCTATTGTTGGATTGACTCCTTGACGTAATTAATCTTATTCACTATTTTTACTTATAAGGGAATCCTGGAAAAGGATCCTAAGACAATATTAAAGGGCCTTTGGTGATAAGTGAGGGACCCCGCAAATGATACTCAGGAGGCAATTCCCAGTCACCCAGACCTATGGTTCAGTGAGAGCCCAGGGTGAGGTCCAGTGCTACACTTGGGCACTGCCTGGGATAAAGCTAGGGTCAGCTGCATGCAACGCAAGTGCCTGGACCCCTGCCCGGCCTCTCTGACTCCTAAACATACTCGATTATTTGGGGAGAGAGGGCACATCTGGTAGTGCTCAGAGCTTACTCCTGGCTCCATGCTCAAGGATAACTCCTGGTGGGGCTTGGGGGATCAGCTGAGGTGTGGGTGACTTGAACCCATATCAGCCACATGCAAGCAAAGCTCCCTGCCCACTGTACTATCTTTCC